GGCCCCTCCGCTCTGTCGCTCCCACCACTGCACTGATGGTGACATATGTGTGTGTGAAAACCCACGCCTGCATTCACACAACATCAGCTATACAACACTCTATACTGAGCCCCACTCAATTTAATTCATTCTGGTTTGTAATTCAATGACAACAAAACTGTCGTATTTACACATACATGTATTTTCTAAAATGTTCTCTTTCTTTACAAATCTCTGCTAGTAATCTAACACTGCTAGTGCACAATATACATTGAAACCCACTGATTACATGTTCTACCTGTCACACACCAACATGTTTATTTTAAGATACTGAACTGTAATATATCAATATGCTTTAGAAACTCTTCTGTAATTGTTATACACAAGCATCATTGATTTTACAGAGGAGCAAACTGATGCTGGGTAATAAAATATTTTAAACATGAGAATAGAATAATTACTGAGCATGAACCAGCCTAATTCCTAACTACCGTCCTCTTCACTGTTTATATGACAAGACATTGTCTGTCCTCAGGTTTAAGTTCTGGTTACATGAGCATTTTCATCGTCATCCACACATCACACGCGATGTTAGCCGTGGACAGGCAGCGAGGGGAAGTACCCCCTGGTGTGTCGAATCCTCCCCTGGATGCTCTCCAGTGGAATGTCCCCACATGCCTCCTCCAGGTTTTCCCGCTCATACAGATTCCTGTCACACACATTTGTGTAATTGTTGCACCTGTAGAATGTTGCGGTTGAGTCCAGACACAACTCAGAAATTATCTTTCTTCTTACGGTGGTATCTGAAATGCTCATAAGCTCAGTTTTAGTGACCGTCATTGAAAAAAACTGTGATATTGACCAAGAGAGTATCTATCTAAGTTCTGTGAGGAGGCAAAGGACAGCACGGCCCTGGAACTGGTACAGCTAAATGGGATACAGCCGTCATTGAAGTTATCATAGGACCAGTGTGGAGGATTTAGTGACATCTAGTGGTGAGGTGGCAACCAACTAAATTCGCTTCCCCTCACACCTTCCTTCTAAACGTATCGAAAGATCTCTGGGGCCCTTCAAATAAAAACATGAAAGCCTTTCTCGAGAACTAGAAATTATAGTGTCTCTCATGAGCTTCTGTAGAAACATGGCAGCCTCCTGCAAAGAGGACCCACCAGTTAGTTTCAGAAGATTACAAATGAAAACATGACTGAATATTACATTTCATTTCTGCCAATAGATCCATCTGTGTGTAAAAAAATACTGAACTGTTTACCTCAATGATTTTGCTACCGTAATATTTTTATGATAATACTGCCCGCAAAATAAAAGTCCAAGGCATTCAAATATGAGCTCGTCAGAGGTTAAGACTGAAATAATAAACTGTGAGCTGCTTCCGCTTCTTTTTATTCTTCTATTGTTAAGTACCGTCTCAATACAATAGTCCGAACTATGCACAAAAAGTTTTCACAATGCCATCAAACCAAATCATGGTTCAGTTTGACCTTGGATTCATTTTGTTCTGCTGGTCTGGACCGTAGTGGTTTGAAGCACCATTCACCCCTGTTATTTTTATTCAGCCTAAGTTGAAAAGTCAGAAGGTCTTGACCAAATAATGTAGGTTTGAAAGCTCCTTAAATCCTTCACTCTGAACCTTTAACTATTCATGTGCTTTTTTGTTTGATGTCAACATAGGAGCCAATGACAAATGCATTTTTGCCGTGTTTTAACATCCCAATCGACGAATCAATACCAGATGGCCCAGGATCAAATAGTATGATGCAACAGGACTCAATTCAAAAGGATACAGTGCAATAAGATAAGAATCTTAGGTGTATGGTTGTAGTAGAAGAGAAATTGTTGTACAACATGCAAACTATCAGCCAAACCACAAAGATCTTTTGTTGACAGTCATCAGAAGCTTTACTGAGGCTGTTGGGGGTTAAATACTTCACCAACAACCATCAGGTGCTGAAGTGAAAGAGAACGCTTCATTTCTCACATCCAGAGAATCAATATTGTTTAATAGATTTTAATTTAGTTGAGATAATTTAGATACTTTTTATCATTGAATCCAAGATGTTAACAAACCTCTGCAGTGGAACATGAAGCAAAAACAGAAAGACTGATGAAACTTCTTACTGTCAAACGTGTGCATTTTAAATCCTCAGTCAAATCATAAATGATCATCAGTCACACCTAGATCTGCTTCTGTCACTGAACAAACCAGTGAGGCCTATTTGTTAAAAGCCTCCATCCATCTTTTATCATTCAAGGCTGTGAAAATCAGCATCATTTTGACTATAACTTGGAATTGTAAAAAAATACATGAATACAAAAGATCCCTGTTAAGTCCCAGCACCTATTACAGCCCCTAAAAAAAGTTTAGGGGCTGTTTTGCTCCTAAAAATTATATATATTCAAAAGCTCTGTCATAAAATTTGAACAACGTGACTTCAATGGCTTAAGTTTAATTCTTCACCCTCCCTCCTCATTTTGTGACTTTATGATCTATGAATATGTTCATATGCCCCCACCCCTGCTCCCTGTCTTACCACCCACAGCTCACCTGCAGCTGAGGAGCCTTTTCCAGCTATTAAGCCCCACCCACAAGACGACAGGATTGGTTTCTTAAGTTTGTGGCATCACAAACTCTGGCCGTTTATATCCTTTCAGACTGGCATGCGTTTACTGCAGTGTCCAGGTGCCATCATGTTGAGTGCTTATTTCACTCAGAATGTCTTTGATCATATAAAAGGCACAGGGAGAACGTGTTAACGTGTTTAAAAACATGTTTTCAGCAGAGGGGGACTTTTAGAAATACATGAGGTCAGAAAAATCCCAAATAATCCCCAATCATTCAAAGCTGTTTGGTGGGACAGATGGTCTGGTGTGTTGATACCTGCTGCGACCTTTGACCTTACAATTTTTAATACAAATTGAACACACAACGTGGTTGTGATTCGCTCCAATGTCACGAGAGTCACTGGAAAACTCCATTCATTTAGAAGGAATTAATGAAAAGGGTCGCAAATAAAATCGTGGCTGCTGGGTTTATTATCTTTCAGTGTCATCAGAGCAGCCAAATATCCAGTGCTCAACAGTGACCTCTGCTATATAGATATATGTGACCGATATATAGCTTAAAATACAGATGTCATGAAATCTGCCTTCTTTTTGCTCATTTATTTTCCTATTTTTAATTTTATATTGATCTATATTCAGAAACAGAAAGAAACAGTGGCACTATATTTATTTTTGATGCATCTAAGTTGGAGGAAAGATGAACATTTGCAGTGTTGGCAAATAAAAATATGTGAAAAGTTTTTACAAAACACAATCACATCATCTCATCTGTCTCCAAGGCTGAAATTCAAAAAGTGCAAATTGACACATCAGACTAGATGGTACTTAAATAAAAACTTAACAAAACATAGCCACCAAATGGTCACTGATCATAAATACTGAAAGAGTTGTAATGGCCTCCAACCCTGAACAATTCTCCAGGTCCCTCTGTTTCTGTTCCTGAGGGCAAAGATCTACATTAAAACACAAGCTGCTCTCACGCATGCACAGAAGTCCTGGTATTTTCCAGGAGGACTGTCTGTGAGAGTGCAAATGTCTGAGTCAGTTGCCTCAGACATTTTCTGGAAGTCTTCCTCAGACTGTCCTAAAATATTCGGAAAATGTCAGAATGAGCCCATGTGAGAAGACAGCAGCATAAAATCCTGATAAGTCACAGTGAATGAAACATGCAAACATGCAACATCTATGAAAAAGAGGAGCCGCACATAGAAGACACAGACGAGGATGTCAACCTGGAAAGACAACGACATTCAAGAGCTTTTGGTGGTAAGGGCCCACACTGGTGTGAATGTGCTGTAAACAAAAATAAGTGATTTCCACTGTGGAATTTATACGTCATGTCCTGCCTCCTGCAGACGCTGAGATGTGATCATGGAGCGTGGCCAGCACACAGGTCACTGACAGCCTCTGAACACTAGAGGGCGATCACTGCCTTCCCGTTGATTCTCCACAGGATGGACACTGAGCCCCATGACAACACTCACATGTAAACTCAGCTGACTTTGAGAACTTGCTGCACATGTTCCAAACACAGAGATTTAAGGTCGACGTGTCTGCATCAGAAGGAAAAAGTAGAAAAGCTTTGGAACTGTGAGACAACTTCTCGTCAGTCTGTATCATGTGCAACATTTATTCATCATATTCATCATGTCACCTTAGAACACTGCGAGGACAATCAGAGTTATCATATCACGAACACACACTGTACAATATTCATTTCATTTAACATACTTATCTATATCAGTCACTTTTGTATGCTATTGCACACAGATCTTGACGTGTACTTAAACATTTTTTGCAGAACTTTATTTTATACTTCTTTTGCTTTTATTTATATTTCATTATATAGTTGGATTTTTTTAACATTTGTATATTTCCTTTGTAAATCACAATATAGTCTTAAATTGTTCCTGGCAGCAAACAACACAAGCTCATGAATGTTAAATGATTTGATTTAGGGAAGTACCTACAATAATAAAGATCCTAATGAAAAACATGGAGTGTGTTCTGTCATAATCAACATGCACCTGGAAAACCTAAAAAATATAAACAGCTGGAAAAACGAATTTCTGCTCACATACATTTTTTTCCATAACTGTCCCTGAATCACGTGTTTCTCTCAGCATCGACTATTTCTAATGTTTCTTTGTGTGGATTGTGTCCTTGAGTTAGGCCTATGTGTGTGTGTGTGTGTGTGTGTGTGTGTGTGTGTGTGTGGTCTTTCCTGGATCTAGGTCTCCTCTGTACAGAGAGGGTTCAGTGGGTGACATTTTGTTTCTATTTATTTATTTCACGTTATGATTTTCATCTCATAATTTTCTCACTTCGTGATTTACTTGGTAGATATTTCTCTTTGAGTTAATTATTTCCTGTTTTACTTTGAAATGATTGACCTTGTGTGTCTCTTGCTTGAATTACTTCCTGTTTGCCTGCTCCTGAGACTCCATCTGACCACAGTGTCTCACCTGAGTTCAGTTCTCCTGCCTCCTTTAGTCTCTGTGCTCCACACTCCATTGTTACTTCACAGGTCCACACACTTGGATGAACAAGTGTTTCTGCACCTTGTTGTTTTCTAGTTTGGTCTTTATGCTTTTTGGATTCTTTTGGAGGTAGGGTTTTAAATTCTTCTGCCAACTTCACCGTAAGCCTGTTTTTGTTGTTCAAGTCAACCATCATGTGTACCTGCTCTACAGTTTGCTCTTCTGCCAAAGACAGTTGTCACGTGCTCAGATTTGTAATGTCGTGAGTGGGAGATATCTAATGTAGAATAATTCTTATGAGGTTTTCAGTAGTTCATTTAATCTAAATTGTATGAATTGTAGTTCTCTTTACCCCAGAAAAGGCCCTTTACATTTAAATACTTTATATTTACATCGAAGTGGTCCTCTCTACGGAGGCCGCCATGTTTTTTTACTTACTTTATTAGTCTAGACTGGACAAACTAAACACCTTTTGAGTTTTTATGACAACTGAAGCTACCACAGCTTCTTTTTCATGTTTGGAAGGAGAGGGTGAGGTGAGGGGTGTTCAGCTGCAACATGCAATTTCAACACTTGATATCACAAAATTCTACACACTGTACCTTTAACACAGTGCTTTTTCACAGCAGACACCTGACGAGGGCGGGTGTGGATCAGGAGGTAGAAAGGGCCGTACCCTAACCAGGTCAGTAGTTCAATACTCTTAACAGTCTCCATTACCTGACTATCCTTGGGTAAGCTTGTGAACCCTAAACTGCCTCTGACTGTACTGACAGTGTATGTGGTGCACATTGTACCACTGGATATTGTTGCGCTGAATGTGTGAATGCACCTTATACTGCACAGAACTGTGCGTGGTTGATAGACTTGAAGTTAGTTCTATAAATACAGTTCATTTACATGTCACGGCAGAAAAAGACAGATGAAAATAAATTAGTGCAACTAACAGAGCTGTTGATGTTAACTCTTAAAGTCAAAATAGCTGCTTTTGTGTGGAGCTGCTTACAGTGTTTGTGCAGGTTGACTGAGAACCAGGGTGTATTGTCTGTGAGAGAAATAAAACATTCAATAGGAGGATGAATTCAGAAGGAGGCTTCAGTGCTGTTCCTCTCATTGCTCACTGATAACACTGTGATCTCTGCTGCTGTACGGCTGAAGGCATGTTCCCTCTTATTCAGCTCTGTTTCTAGGTCACTGACACGTTTTATATTCATCGGTAAATATTAATTAATGACAATGAACCAATAAGCTCAGCCTGGATGTTATTTCACTGAAGGGATGTTGACATTATGGAGCCAAACATGTTGCAGCAAAAATCCAGTGTTTGCAATAAATAACCTCTCCATCAGATCTGATTATGACATGTGTCTCATATTTAAACGAATGATTATATGGATTTTGTATTTGTTGCTATTTTCTGTCTGTTTTTTTATCCAATGTAAAGTGTCTTTGATAATTGTTAAAAGCGCAGAACAGACGGGACAGATTGATCTATTGATCAATGCAGTCAGCGTGTTTATATTTACATTTAATAGTCCTACTGTCCATAGAAACGTTTGTCCCACACTGAAAACATTTTAACATGAGTGGGGACGTTTTATTTTAAATTTAATACACTGGACACGGGAGTAAGGAACGTTACTCTTTACTCTCACTCAGACTGCTTACTTGTTATGATGGCCTGAATAGCAATTTTCCTCAATGCTTCTCACAGCTATTCAATAACATTTTCATTGCTACTGGAAGATATTTCGATTCACTTCACCCGTTTGTAAAGCATTCAGGAATTGCCGTCTACCCCTTTGTTTTTATAGGATCCCTGAGTCCACTACGGTTGAAGGGGTGTTTGAAGGACTAGATGGCCACTACCCCTACATCACATAGAGAAATGGAACAAGACGACCCCTTCACGGCCACGTGCAAAACAAAGGGGTACGGCCAAGTTGGGCTGAACGGGGACAGGGTCAATGTCTCCTGCTTGTTGATCTGCTGATACTTCATGTGTAGAGATGAAGTGAAAATGTGAATCATCTGCAAGTAGCGGCCTTCGTTTGTGTTTTAACCTCATGGCATGAATGTTGCTCAGCTAACACCATGTCCCGCCAAATGGCTTGAGGTGAGTCTTTGACAGGGAATTCTGAAATATGTTCTTCCATCAATAGATTATTATACATGTGATGCTCTGTGTAACATTTTAAATTCAGAGTGGGCTCAAAATTAATTTCTGTCATCAGAAATAATGTATAGCTCTAAATGGGTTTTCTTATATATTGTAAAATCAATTGTATTTAATTGTGTGAGGGAAACAAAAGATGATCATGTTTATAACCTTTGTCATGGAGGTTATTTTCTTGTCTGCTTCTGTTTGTCAGCAGGATTACACAAAAACAACCGAACAGATTTCATGAAGGATGCAGTATGTTCTTTTTAATACTTTTGTTGATTTCTGTGATGTTTATGTGTGAATCTTGATGGAGAAATTCAGACATATTTAGGGTGTTGGTATCGACGAGTCTGTGCATTTTTGTGCAGATCCAAATAAAAATCTCTTCAACTGCTGTATGGTAACAAACGAAGCTAAAAGCCTGTAACTACCACGAATATGTATCTGAGACACATAATGTAGCCTTAGCTGTTAGGGTTGTTTTAATTTAAGGGGACTGTCGGGACTTGGTGGATGTATGTCCTCTACTCGGTGCCCTCCTAGCTGTATATGTGATTACCAAGAACAAAACCTTTTAAAAGGAATTTGATCATTTCCTCTCTCCCCTCAGCTCCAGGTGGGAAATAAATCCTGTGGCTCTTCTCTTCATGCTGAGCATCTCGAAGGATAAAAATGTTCTCTTATCAAACACAGTTCAACCTGCGGCCATGAAACAGCAAGAAAGTGAGGGGTTTAAAACAGTGTGCACAGGTCAGGATATCTACTCCTCCGGTTATATGACAATCCTCCGTACTGTGTCTATTCCAGTTTATCAGTGTGTTCATGCTCTGTTGTGCACTGCAGGCGGTGAGTGCCAGCTCTGCTGCAGTTTTGAAAACTAAACGCGGCATAGGGAGGTTTATTAGCCCCCCCCCTCCGTTTCTCTCTCTCCTCAGGGCATGGAAAAGGCAACTGCGGAGAGACACTGCCACAAATAGACTCTCTAAATATGGAGGGATTCAGTCGAGAGAGAGAAATGCATGATCGAATTTTGGGCCTCTCCACCAAACAGCTTCCATAAAAGGAACAAGAAGAGAGGAGAGTGGTTTGAGTGTTTGTAGCTGTTGGTGTGGGTGCACGCCTGCTCACACCTGTTGTTACACAGAACATTTACAGTCGTCTGTGCTCGTGACGCTGCCTCTGTTAGTTCACTTCTGTGATCATTCAGTTTGCCCACATGTTTAGTTTCGATCCTGTGCTGCTTCAATGTTAGATCTGTCAATGAATTTTGAATGGCGTCAAATAAAATACATGTTGAGGAGCACTTGCAAAACCAGATTATGACTGTTTGATACATTTCTCGTAGAACGAAAGGGGACAAAACAATAGCCAGAGATTTTAGATGACAAAAATTGAAGTAAAGTGAAAGACTGTCTTCGTGCTCATTCACAGTTCCTACTATAGATTTTCACCGGCTCATTCTTTACATCCAATCACAATCCAACATGCTCGCCTCAAACCAATCACCTGTAAACTGTCAAAGTTTAAAACGTCCTCTCTCCCTCCTGTCCCTACCAGGTCATCTCTCTTCGAACCGTCCAATCAGAGGCTTTCATCAGACGTCCTAACTTCCTGCTCCATCCCTCATCACCACCACCGCTGTCCAGACTCCATATCCAAGGCACCTAATTCTCAAAACTGCTTCCATGGTGTACAAAAAATGTATTCTACTGTTTACGACAAATTTGATTTGATTTTTATTTCCTTTATTGTCTCTCCTGATTGAAAAGCTCGGCTCAGCTTTTTCTGTGAATGAAAAGAAACTTGATCTAAAAGAATATAAAGCTGATCTCAAGTAAATATTGCATCATTATAATTTATCACAGGCAGATGGAGAATTTACAGACTGTGTCCTCATGAGGACCATGTGTGGACCTAGCATCATGATGGCTCATTGGACCCTGGTAAGTTAAAGAAAAAATACATATTACTTTGTCTAATTGATCTCCAAAAAAATTGCTTTTAGGTGCAATAAGTGCGAAAACCTTATGGGAAATGTATAACAAGCAGAGCTACAAAGGTACATACAAATCAAAAACTCTGAGCTTCATCAGAGTTTGATTTTTTTGAGGAAAGCTGCTTTCTTCAGCTGAAACTGAATAGCAGGTAGAAAAACAAATAGTTATGTTTGGACCAAAAATGAGAAAAGATGGAGCTATGAAACTCGAGGGGCATTTCAGAGATGATCATTTCACCGTGACTTTATCAATATCAGCAAATCAACTAGGTAAAGTTCCCTTTTCCTGTCAGTTCCTCACATGCTGGAGTGCTGCAATGCACCATTGCACCTTACAGTTGACCCTGTTTGTGTTGCAACACCCTGTCCACACGTCTTATGATGTATGTGGAACAAACAGAAATTCCACTTAAGTCATTCTTTCACCTTGTGAGAGTCTGTAAAAATCTCCCGCTCTGTCACATATATCACCTGGCCCAAAATGAGGATCAGCTAAAGACACATCTTCACTGACTGTATTATAATAATGAACACATGTCTTCATGAGTCAGCCTCCTTCATCCCACACACTGTGTGTGTGCACGCGTGACCCCATGCATGTGTCCGTGTGGCCACGTGTCACAGCAGATGTTGCCTAAGGCCTTTTGCGGCATCTCCGGTGATGTACCGTCCGCTGACCTTCAGTTACATTTGAAGATTGTCCCGTTCGTCAAGGACGGGGCACTTCTGTGGCTGATTATGATGCTTTGACTTTCATTAATATGTGTCACCTCCTGATCTGCTATATGGATTTGCATGATATTAGCATATATCTGTGGACCAGCCGTCGGATGCTGCAGTGTGTGGAGCTGGTGGGAATGACACCTGTTAAGACAGGTAGGCAGATGCCTTTCTGCCGGGGCCACGGAGTGCAGGCTGGAGGGTACGAGGAGGTGAAGGGGGGAGATGGAGTGTGAGAAGAAAGAAAGGGCACATGCAACTTTCTTCCTTTCTAGAACTGTTGCATTTCACTGCTCAAAAAGACAAGAATCCTTTCTGTCGTTTGCAAAAAATTAAATTGGTTAACCCCAGACTAAGCTGCATTTAATATAATCTAATAATAAGAGAAGAATATGGCATAGGTTCACTCTTTTCCTGTTCCATCATGTTGCATTTCAAAGCTTTTGGGCTCCTGTTTGGTTTGTATTCGTCCTAAATAAGTAGGGGAGATCTGTGGTTGTCCTTGTTCCTGCATGAGGCTCGAGTTTTTGTTCAGTTCTGATGCTGCTCGGCTCGAGGATGCTGCAGCCAGGTGGTGACCCTGCATGCATTATCAGGCACACAGCAGAGTGCACAGAGCTGCAGCCAAGTCCCAGAGTCTGAGAGCTGCCCACACTGGCCAATCTGCCACCATCGGGAAAGAGCTGCGGACACAAATACTCAGACAGACAAAATAAAGAGCTGATTTCATAACAAGGGATCAAGAATTACAATGAAAAAGATGCCATTGCATCATGAGTGTAGAAACTGTTCAGACACTAGCACCACAGCAGGGACGGTGGACTAAATATGGTCACACCACCCAATAGCTTTTCATTGACAAATGTTTGTGAAGTGTCAACAAGGCTCTGATCCAGCAAGTCTCACTCCAATGTCCCCTGAAGACCGACAGCGTCACTAATATGTTGAGACTTCAAACAATCACTGTCGCAGAGCGGATGCAGGTTGAGAGGATTCATGGTCGTCTGTCTCTGAACTGTTTGGAATCACACAGAACACACCCCCTGCTTCAGGTTGGAGGTCAGTTCGCACAGAGTCTGAATCTGAAAAAGCCTTTAACGATACATTTTTAAGGTATTTTTAGCTCAATGTTTTAGTGAGGATTATGAATCAAGAGGCAAATTGAGCAACTTTGACAAATACAGACTGCAGCCCTGGAATCCTGCAGTGAAATATTGATTATTATCAGTTCAATCCCAGTTGTCCCCAATCTGTATGCTGTAGTGTCCTTGGGCAAGATGCTGAACCCCTCATAGAAAAAAGTGCTGTCCATAGATGCACTGTATGAATGTTGGTGTGAATGGGTGAATGGCAAACTGTACTGTTAAGTGCTTTGAGTGGTCATCAAGACTAGAAAGTGCTATAAAACTACAAACCATATATAAACTGTAATAGACAGTTCTAGGAGTGTGTGGAGACCAAAACAGAGCTAAAAGGAGAGCGAATATTAGACTTAATTATTTTAAGCTTTTCATTGAGTTTTCCTTACTGCAAGTGGCCAAAAAAAACTACCTGTTTCTGCTTTAACACTCGGTTTAATTATCTGATCTGTCCATTAACCCCCTTTTCTATTCTGGAGTCTTTTATGACCAAGTCTGGGTTATAGACAGCTTAGCTTTTGATACACGGCAACCCAGAAACCCAGACAGGATGCCTCAAAATCCTGTTGCACAATATGCAGAAAATCACCTGCTGTGGGGCTCCGCCCTCTGAAAGCTGCTCTCCGATTGGTTTCATGATTTTGAATTCCCTTCATGACCTTTGTCAAATGTCATCACCATTCTGTCTCCACAATCATCTGCGTCACATCCCATTTAAAACCTTCTATAATAGGAAGCCATAAAACTAATCTTTACTATCGGAGGCGAGAATCACCAGCTCATTACTAGCCCTGTTTGAGGGGCTAAATATGGGATGTGAGGAGCCCGGCAACAGCGCTGAGCCCAGGGCATCCTGGTGGCTCAGTCTCTTAATGGCTGCATGTGATTAAACTCATTCCACACTGTTGCATCGATCTCCTTCCACTTTCCCACCTCTCTTCACTGTACCTGTCACCAATGTAATTAAAAGAATTCAAAACTTAAAATCCTCTCTGCTTTGCTTGAATCAGATCAGTCTCTATCTCTTATGTCCTGTTTCCTCCCTGGCTGCTCTTAATGATCCCACACAGACAAAGCACTGTGATCCCACTATGAAACACCCTGTGATGAAATACACCATTGTGTGTGTCCTCGTCCCAATATGCTAATCCAGGATTAATTATGGGCCAATCCTAGTGAGTATGTCTCTCGGTCCCTTAGATATGTAAATGTTCCAGGCGTGGATGCTGCGTTGAGAGGCTTTTAACTCTGTGTTCTATGGAGTAGGCAGGACAGGACGGACAGAGACAAGGACAAAGGTTCAGGGACACATAGATCATTTCAAGTAATAAGCAATAACACAAGTTCTTTTCTCTTTGGTTCCAGGGAGGAAATTAGGAGTAATTGATGTCCAGAAATTAGTGCAATTGTGATGGGTTGGGTGTGTAAACCTTTGTCCATGGTGCAGGATGGATGACACAACCACACGGGCCTTCCTCTGATTCTCTCTCTATTCTGTTCACAGTATGAAAGTCAGCAAAACAGGTCATCAGAACATTCACATCTCAATTTTAGAAGATTGTAATGCCATGTATGACCTTCTAGATAGCACCTAGACAATAAAAGCTATGCTATTTTACATTCTAGATACAATTATTGCAATAAACCATTTGAAATAATTTTATGTAATTCAAAAGTTCCATGGGCTATAAATACAATTTAAAGACTGTCCTCAAAAGATGTCTAAAGCCTAAATTCCACACAAAACATGATGAATCACAAAGCATCAATGCAACAGCTTATAAAACTTAAATGGAAAGGTCCATTGTGTTGGATTTAGGAGAATCAATCCACAGAAATTAAACGTAATAATCACAGTTCTGTTTTCATTTGTGTATATTCACTTTAAAACGTCTTTGTAACCTTAAAATTAGATCTTTACATTTACACTGGGAGTGGGTCCTCTTCCATGGAGTCCGCCATGTTGCACCAAGTAGCAGTATCACAGAAAGTATAAACCAAACACTGGTTCTCCAAAAGGCCTGTAAGTTCTGACAGTACTGCTTTTGGAGGAATMTCCCCTTTGTTTCGGAATTATTCAAAATATAACCAATGTAATACTGTATGTTATCAATATTACAGATAGATTAGATAAGACTGGGGGAATTAAGAGGGGTATAAATCATTATATAAACCAGATCTTTAAATATTAATGAATGAATTGTTACAGGCCTCCAATATGCAGTATCATGAAATTGATTGTTCAGATTCACCAATACATCAAGTACAGATTGATGATAATAATTAAAGATTTAATTTAACTTACTTTTCATACGCAGCGATTTTATCTGTATTTGTACACTTTGTTGATGCTACTTAAAGATCTACTTTAATGATGTGATTTGCATTTTTTATTTTTTAAGTATAATCAAAAGATAGACTCAATAGACAAGTCAATTAAATATAATCCGTGGGAAGCAACAGCACTTAGCCTGAGCTGTGATGGTAACTGAGTGAATAATCCTCTCTCTGATGAGTCTTACTAAAATACAGGATATATTGCTCATGTCGATCACACCATGAAACACACTCAGGTGTCTGTTTATTAGGAACACCCTGCCAAAAATAATGGATTCTGCAGTTAAAGTCTCAACCATGTTCAGTTTTTCACTTTCAACTGTGTGATCTGACTGATTTCACCTGACTCCTTTTCTCCTTCTCTGTCCAGGTGTGGCTCAAATTCTCGAAAAGAAAACATTCCTGGTGGTGTGTGTGTGTGTGTGTGTGTGTGGGGGGGGTCTTCAGGGATTCTCCACATGAATAAACTATCTCTCTCTCTCTCTCTCTCTCTCTCTCTCTCTCTCTCTCTGTGTTTCTGTCCAAGGTGCTGAATTCTGCTGCTTCGGGGTCACGTGACTGCGCTTCCTCTGGCTGCTGAGTGTGTGTGTGTGTGTGTGTGTGTGTGTGTGTGTGTGTGTGTGTGTGTGTGAGAGAGAGAGAGAGTGGGGTGGAGAGGGAGTGCGCATGCACGTTTGTAGGCTACGCACGCGGACACTTCAGTCCTCATCATGAGCGATCCAGGCTCTTGAGAGGAGCCTTTGCCCGGCGCTGTGTCTGTGCTTGCAGCGTGGATTTGGAGCAACTGAACGCGCAACAGCGACTCTTGACTCGCACCTGTTTTTCTTCTGTTCCTCTCAAACACTAGCGTGGCAGCCGTGGATGGGGGGCACGCAGGAGTGGGCTGCCGCTGCTGCCCACCAAGTCTGACCGTGCGCCCGAGCCGCTGAGGAGAAGAGACCATGTAAGAATCCGCAGGCTTCCCTCCCCTGCGCGCACACCGCAGCCAAAATGCAGAAAGGGATGAGGCTCAATGATGGCCACATCACCTATCTGGCGCTTTTGGCGAAGAAGGACGGGACGAGGCGAGGCTGCCTGAGCAAGAGGAGCTCGGACAACACAAAATGGCATTCAAAGTGGTTCGCCTTGTTGCAGAACATGCTGTTTTATTTCGAGAGCGACTCCAGCTCACGCCCCTCCGGACTGTACCTGTTGGAGGGATGCGTGTGCGACAGGGCGCCGTCACCGAAACCGTCTCTGTCAGCGAAGGAATGCTTGGAGAAGCAGGTAAGAGAGTGAGTGGGCGCACAGGGAGCTCACACAACTCTGACTGAGGCAAAACACCACAATCATAACATCAACTTTAATGGATCTGGCTGAGATTTTACGCACCGACACGGGAAAAGATATTTTCCTCCCGCAGTTTTATTCCAACGTCTATTATTACGCAAACATATTTCCCAGAGATTCCTGAGCATTATAATTCACTTGCCTCACTGTTACGTAATGTCGTCATCCTAAGAAATTGATTGTCTACATCTGGCGTTAAAACATCCTCTCAGTTGACCTCCAATACCCAAAAAACACAAAACGCACAGTGAGTGAGCAGGATTCATGCGATTCTTTGCGCAAACTTTGCGTAGATAGGGACTACTTCCCCCCCTCCGCTTCTTATCTCATTAACAAATCATTTGTTGCATCACATTCACACAGCGGTGTACAGTGTGTTTTTTAGACGTCGGGGATTGCTGCGCAGATGTGAGGGAGCATAAACTTCAGCTGCATCCAAAACTTTGCAGGTTGCCATCTTGCGGAGGAGAGCTGCCCCCTTCCCTGTCGTTTTGACGTATTGATTTAATTCCTTGTCTTGATATTAATAGCATCCTACCTTGGCAACTGCGTCTCCCCGGTTTACAGCGGCTCGGGTCGTTTGGTAACCCTCTCATTATCACAGGGTTGTTAACAACAAACCATGAATGAAAAGCAAACGATGTGTCAGAAATGCTTTTGTTTCTCAATAATATACCCCCCCCCTCACACACACACACACACACACACACACACACACACACACACACACACACACACACACACACACACACACACACACACACACATTCCATTCGTTTGATTTCCTCTGGAGTTTAGAGCTGTAGATGAACATGTGTGAAGACTGGATAATTTCCATTTTTTATTCATACAATATAAGTGAGGAATGATCTCAGTGGAAGGATGGTTTCCTCCAGTGAAGCAGACTTAGAGGTTAGAGACGCTGCAGCGGCTGCAAGGAATAAACCTTGTGACATAAAAGCATTAAAGAGGCAGAGAAGTGGTCAAGCTGCTGTGAGCTATGACTGCAGTCACCTTCTGAAATCTGCTCCGCCAGCTGCAGTCTGCTCTGCTGCTTCCTCTGCAGCACACACACAACAACTCCAGTGATGGGTCATTTGAACTGGTCATAGAAAACTCCTGTAGGTTGACAGTTTTTTTCCCCCCCAAACAAACTCCATCAATATGCAAAATGTAGCAATTCTCTATCCTTTCCCCTTTCTTACTTCATGTAGCCTGTGAACGTTTTCACCAATCCTGGATAAGCTGGACTTTAGGCCCTGCACTGCAGACATGCTACACTTTTACATAACAGAGCTACACAACTTTCTAATTTGTCTCAGCAAATGAACCCTCCTATTGTCCTTGGGTTCAGTTTGAAGTCATTCCATCAAGCATCTCTAAATAAATAAAAACGTTTTCCCCTTCATATTTAGTTTTTTCTTAATTTAATGGGAACAACTGGGTAAACATAAAATGTACATGATTATGTATTTTCAATGACCTGTATACTGAACACATCTGTGTTCTCCTTGACCCACAATTTGACTCCAGGCTGCTTTAGTTGTAAGCATTTTACACTTATTCATTTGGGTTGTTCTGGATGATATTGAGGTCACTATAACATGTCATTTTATCATCTTTAAATAAACTTCCCTCTGCTCGGGGCACTAATCAACCCAACTATAGCTGTAGTAGTGTTCAAACCACTGATGGTTCACCCGACATGGAGGGCATGCACATCAGCTCTCTAAACCATTTCTCTGTGTGCTTTCTGTTCATGATCGTTCTAAATGTTTGAAACTGCGTCTGGTATTCCTGGATTCAACCCCCCTACTTTCCCTGATAATAGAGAGAGAAGAAAAAAAAAATAAAGAAACCAATATGGGAGCCCATTATTTAAAATAACTCCTGTGCAAGATTAAGCTCACACACAAGCACAAAAGGGGGTAATTTAAGAATAGTTATGCTAACTCATGAGTGAACAGCAGCAGGAGAAAAGATGAGAGTATAGCTTAGGAAGCTAAAACATCAGTTTACTCTCAGAGGAAAATCTCAACGTCACAAATGTATTCTCTCATAAATTCTGAGTTTGTCTCATCTACTGTGTTGATTCATTGTTGAGCATGATGATAATTTTATTCTTGCTGTGCCTCTCTGTAGGTTGTCTGGTTATGAGTGCGTTTAGAGCCACAATCCAGAGTTATGTTAGCTGCATTTAAAAAGGGAAAAAATGTGAAATGACAAATAAATGATAGACACTTGGTAAACCCTATGCAGCACCTCCTACAGTCACACTGTTTCCGTCAGCTGTACCTGGTGTTCACGTCCATTGTGTCGTCCATGACGTTCATAAAAAAGGACTTGCCCTCTTCTCCTGAGACGTCAGGATTATTGTTCATGTGGCCAAGAGGGCTCTGTACTGTACATCAGACAATTCAACACAAATGATAAATCTTTATTTGATCCCAGATCACTTTTTTTCTTTTAGCAAATATAATACAAAAATATATGCTCCTGACTAACAATGTTGTGTTGTTAGTTGTTAGTCAGCCATACCTTAAGCAACAGTAGCAGATCACAATACAATAAGCCCACATTCATCACATGGGCTGATTTGGAAGACACCATTCATCAGCTAAACTTTGTCCCCTTGCCTATTTTCTTAAAACCATGTCAGTAGAAGAGACGTGCTCGGCTCTGGGGATGAAGCAGGGACTGAGTGGCATCCATGATGACGGATGTTGATGCAGTCTGCTCCAGTAAATTTATTTCAACAGTGAATTAAATGAATTTGAAAGCCTTCAATTAGCATAACTCAGTCTTCTGTTCAGCACGTGTCCCTTTATTTAATATGTGTCAGGAATTAATTCTGTCAGTGTTATGTTGGCTGTGTGGGGGTGTTCGTTTTCTGCTGTGCTAAATGTGCGTATACGATTTTGTGTGTTTGGCTGCACAAACACAAGTTCTGCATGTTGTCAATCATGCCAGCATGTACATGTGTGCGTGGGGGTCCACATCTGTACATGTTGTAGAACTTTGGGGTCCGTAGGTCTATATTTGTGCCTCAGTGTGTCCGCCTGCAGACGCTTGTGTCGATCTCTAAAAGTCAGCAGCTCCATAGAAAAAAGGTGAGCTGAGGACAGGAAGAGTAATCAATGCTGCAGGTGTCTGAGGGCATACAGATTTCCTTTTCACTTGCCCCACTGGAAAAAACAGAGATGACAATGGAGTCGATGAGGGAACTGCAGAGGTTGTCTGTGGCGACAATATTGTACATTTGCACCGCTACATATGCAGATCGCAGCAGATTCCAGGTGTCTGTGTGTGTGCAAGTACTGTATTCATATGTGTGTCGGAGGCGACAGAGGAATGGCCAGGCCGGCACTGGATCTTATCTGTGTGTGACAGGGAGAGGGACAATGCTGCGAATAGATGCCAAGCCAACTGCCACCTTGCAGGGCTACGGAGCTTTTTATAGCTTTCACTCCTCAAAAAAGCCAAAAGATCGCTCTCCCCCCTCCTGCGTCTATCTCTCTGTTCTCATTGTATTCTTTGGAGTGGTCTACTTTTTAAATGTTCTTAGTCCTCATTTAGAAGGCGAGCTACGTTTAAGCCCCCAGTTACTATGGCAACCCTTATTTGCATCTGAAAAAGTGCATCTGAAGGGGCCAACAAAATGTGCTACAACAAGCCTTTCCACCGTGCTTCGCTTAGTGAGCACAGCAGAATATGTGCATATGAGAAATGGAGCGGGGGGGCGGTGGGGGGGCTAGTGTTGTTTACAAACAGTCATACATCGTCTACAATCAGTCTCGATTTGCAGCGATTTAACTGCATCCATGTATTTATAATGAATTCATTTCTTGAAGTGAAGGTTATACATTAAGCAGTGTTTGTATGAACAGTATAACTGTGTAGTTATAAGGAATCACAGTACAGACATGCATCCAGACAAGAGACACCAAAGTACAATACCAGTGCCTACAGATGGAGGGATGTGTCAGGAGGAGACCAATTAATCAATATTCCAATATATTTCCAATTATTTTGGAATATATAGATTCTCTGTTTATGTATTTCAGCTATTATTTATTTCAATGTCAGTTAAATTTGTTACAGTTGTAAAAATGATACTATTGTGTTTTTGTTTTTCTGACACACACACACACGCACAACCACATTTTATTTGGATCTGCACTCAAATTGAATGGGTCCTTCCCTGACACATACCTCATCCTTCCACCAAGTTTCATAGAAATCCATCCATAGTTTTTGCATAATCCTGCTTAAAAACAAACAAACCAACAAGAAAACCCCTTGGCAGAGGAAACTATACGAGGTGTTGTACTCTAACACAACTTGGTAGTGCCAGCATCAAGCACAGATATGTAAAGCATATTAACAACACCATTGTTTTAACTGTGTTCAACTTCTGAATCATAAATAAAAGTGAGGCATTATTCTGTGAAGCAGACTTCTGAAACATGGCAACTGTTTACAGTCTGTGGTTCTATGTTTGAAATCACGTTTATAAGTAATTCTCATCAAATTATAAAAATGATCTATCAAGTCGTTAATATAATCCATGTCAGTAATATACAGAATAGCAGCTTCTCTGTACTTTGTTCAACATGTAAAAAAAGATGCAAAAAAGTGAAATGGAAAAACCAACAGTTTCTCCATGGATTTCATTTTAATAAAGTTAAAAAGTTCAGCTAAAGGTCCTCTCAAAGTGTATTTTTTATAAACTGATTGACTCTGAAGTTTAGTCATTGAGTGTCACCTTTATCAGTCATCATTTAAACCTGTTCAACCTCTGTTCTGGATGAAATTCAGCATTTTTTATTCACAGATTTTAAACAAGAATTTAATGCACGGGATACTTTGTCTGACTTACCGACAGCTAATGTCTCTGGCAAAAAAAAGAAAATCTAGTGGCGTGGAGCTAAATATAGCCGCCTAAAAGGCTTGACACACCAGCTTGCAGGAAGCGGGAGATGAGAAGCACATTATTGACAAAGGGCCGTTCTGCTGCTCATCAGGAAATATGGAACATTACTCCCCTTCACAAATGATTTGCTCTTGGCATTTGGGAGGGATAAAAAATCCAATATATTGGATTTGTTGGGGTCTATTTACAATGCATCAGTGTTATATAATTTGATGCGTTTCGACCACAAATAGTCTGCCTGTACTGTTACTGCGATGACCACCACTTTGGTGATTTGATCTGATAAGCCTACTAGAAAACATTTGCCATAATTGCCATAACTGAACCTTTGAGGCTGTAGGGTCGCCGGAGATAATTGGAGGGTGAGTAAAAAGGGGTGAGGTCCCAGGTGTGTTGTTGTCACAAAACATGGCGTCAGCGGAGAGTCTGTCGGGTTACAGACAGAATGCACAGAGGATTTATAATGATTCTCTCAAGACCTCTCCCTCAGGATCTCTGCACTCATTCAAAAACATGCATGTGTTCACAAATAATACTTCAGTTTCAACAAGATCTTGGGTTGTTTTTATGAAAAAGCTGGTCAGTGACGGCCGCAGTTGGATGTTTAGCAAGGTTTTTCCATTTCATCAACATTCACCGTCAACCTCTTAATTAATTAATTGATAATTGTGTCATAATGTGCTGAAGAGATGATAAACTGTTCCTTTCTATGATTTTGTTTTGCAGTATTATTTCACTGTCACGTTTAATCATGACAACCAGAAGGCTTTGGAGCTGCGCACTGAGGACGTCAAGGACTGTGATGAGTGGGTAGCTGCTATCACACAGGCCAGGTACCTCTCACACATGACCTCTGACCTACATACACACATTCAGCTGAGGGAAGTGTTATTGAGAAGTGTGTGTGTGTGCGTGTCTGTATGTGTGTGTAATCTGTGAAGTAACATCAATTTAATCAGTCAATAAAACAACCTACAGCACCTCGCTAAAAGACTTAAGAATTGAAAATGTGATTTTCAGGCTTGAAGAAAAGGAAATTGAAAGTGTTTTAAGAATTGATTAAGTTGTGATGTGATGTGTCACAGAAAGTGGTCATAAAAGGTTTTATACTTAACAGAATTCAAATAGTCGATTACGATATCATTCATTTGTTACATAAAACATGATTTGTATTGTAACAATTAGCAGTCACACTAAAGCAGCTGAAATGAAGCACAGCACGTCTATGAGCAAAATTCTAACACAAACATGCAAACATACTCACAATGGAAAATTCAACGTCCTGATGTTTAGATATAATATTTACCAAAGTCAACCCTCTTAGTTTAACATATATTTAATAAACAAAACCACTGAACAAAAATGTAAAAATGGATCTGACCTGATTATGACAGGGGTTCACCAAAGTCATCATGATTCATCCCCACTGAACAAATTAAATTATGAGATCAGATTGTGTGCTGAATAAAAAACTGATAACGGAGAAGCTGAGGACCCGACCACAAATGTAAATAATCACAATATTCAGTCATATTCATGTGGTACAGTTGTTATCTTCCATGTATTCTGCCAAGCCTAAGCTTTTTGCTCTAGTCCACTCAGACAAACATATAATACACAATATTTTTGGTCAATGATGGTTTCTATTATTTTTGATCGTTCTTATCACACTGATGTTTTTTCAAATGCTAATTTGGTTTGGATTAGTTATTTGATGCTGTAAAGACAGGGGGGAAACATTATGATTGAAAGCTTAGACTGACTCGTAATTGGTCAAGTGTGTGTATCGATGGGACCTCGCTGCCATGGCTTCATCCCTCATCGCTTCTGCATTTGTCCCTGGGTGTTTTTTGCTTAATGCTGGATAGTGCAAGGAAGTGGAGACATGTCGTCCATCTTTATGTACAGATCTATGTGTTGAAGCCTTGTGGGATAGGAGTACTCTTTCATGATTCCCTCCATTGGATTGTACCTGGATGCCTGTTATACTTAGAGTTCATAAGACTATTACTTTAAGAATTAAAACAAACAAATTATTATTAAACTTGATGTATAAAGTCTTGAGATGTGTGATGAGTAAAATGCCCCTTTGCGGCTCAGAGACAAAAACGGGTCATGAAAGACAAGCAGCACAATCATTGTAAATGTCAGCAGAGTGCATTTGTATGGCAAAAGGTCAATTGATTGGACTCATTGAGGATTAAATTGATTAGCGTTCCGTCAAGGCAGCAGCACTTTACTGTAGAAGGAGGAAGTTGGCCTGTATGTATGCAATGCACAGCATGCGAATGATAATCTGTCGTCTGCATCATCGTGCTATTGCTTTGGATTTCCGTGTATTCCTTCTTATTTCAGCATGTATCCAGTCTAACAAGACGTTTTTTTCAATGGTGCTTTGATTTAAACATAAGCTCCTATTGAACAGTCCTCACTTGTCAGGAGACGTCTAGATTCAAATTACTTTGAGGGCTGATTTATACGAGCTTGAAGGAGTCGGCTGCACTGACTTTAAGCCTCACTTAGCATATACATAAAGCATTGAACTGGGTAATGTACAGAATAATTTCTCATGCAGAAGCAGCCTTCACACATGGTTTGCTAAACTGGTGAGTATTTGAAGGCTGGGTCATGTAAGCGCCTGCGCAACTGTGTGGACGTTAGGATCTGTAGTTCAAACATATGCTGATCAGAGGTCTGCTTTTAGCTTTGATAAGTCTAAGGAGAGCCCATGAAACATGCCTTAATGAGATCCTTGCGATGCCTCTGTGTGTGTCTGTATAGTTACAGGAACCTGGCTACAGAGCATGAGACCCTCATGCAGAAGTACCTCCATCTACTCCAAATCGTGGAGACGGAGAAAACGGTTGCCAAGCAACTTCGACAACAGATAGAGGATGGGGAAATCGAGATAGAGCGGCTAAAATCAGAGGTAACCTGCTTGTGATTTCATGCCAGTAACACCTGTATATACGTGTGTTCTGTGTTAGTGTGTGGTACATCGTGAGCGAGACAGAAAGGAAAGAAGAAGTGAAAGAAATCAGGCACAGAGGTTTTCACACAAAAAGAGAGCACAGGACAAAGGTCACAGATGAGGTTACAACCACAACACTGTGAGTTCATGACAAATGTGGAGCTTGAAACACCTACAGTTCTGTTCAGTGTTTTATATCCTAGTTATTCAGTTGAAACTGGATCAAATGTATCTCCCTTTAATGTGCTAATGGGTAGCTCCAATTGAATCGAATTGAATGTCTTCAATATGCATGAATCATCTGCTATTGTACCTGATTCTGCAGCAGATTTTAATAATCTACTCTCTCACTTTCTTTGCTAAAACATGAGGTTGCATGGACTTAATTTCATCATTTATTAAAATATGTTTTCTTTTCTTATTCACTGCCCCATATGTCATTTAATCACAGTAAATGAAACAGGGTGGACTAGTTTATAGACTAGTGTTTTTGTTGCAGCATTTCTTTTAATGGATGATAACACAAATGAACAAAAGCACTTAAAAAACATACCTATAATAAAAACACATCGTGGATCTTCAGAAGATGAGATGACCGAGATCCTGAGTAGGATTTTAATAAAGATTTTTAGTTGCTTATAGTACAAGGTGCTGGTCTGAACCCAGTGAGTGAATGCTTCACAGGTTTGTATTGAATTTCAGATCGCTGGGCTGCTCAAAGACAATGAGAAGATCCAGTCGAATCCAGAGGTTCCGCCCAGTGACGATGACACCGAGATCAAGAAGATCAAAAAGGTGACATGTGACTGTGTTTGGTGCTGCGCAGTTTAAAAGGAGAGAGGCGACCTCAAAGTGCAGATGTAATGCAAGTAGGGAAAGAAAAAGGAGGAAAGGTTTTGGTGAAGTTTGGTCTGATCCGGGGATATGTATAGTTTCTGAGACAGCCTTTTAAATAATACATCATCTCTGGGCACCTGCAGGTTTTATTTTGAATCCTTGTTTATTCAGCTTTACACTTTCATAGCATGGCTTGTCCTAGTAAGCCAATGGCTTCTTCAGCTTGACACTGAGGCAGCTTTCTGCTCCTTAATAGATACAGTTGCATTGATGAAGCCACAGATAATTCTCAACTGATTCTGCAACTCCACATAGCCCCACTGAACGTTTAGTGTCTTTCAGCAAAGTGTTTTGGTTTTGTGGCCTGCAACTCTTTTGTTTCCCTGTCAACACTGAAACATGTTTCCAACTGCAACACCACACCGTGACTAACAGCATGGTGAAGCAGGTAGGTTAGACAACAAGCTAGCTGCTGAATATAATGGGAAGTTAGCAGCTATGAACTTACAGTCTCCAGTCAGGAGAAACCCGACTTAAGTCTCTAGCATGTGTGAAAAGGCTTGCTAGCATCTTTTCTGTGGAAACTGTCCTTCTGAGGAAAAATGTATCAATATTATGTTAACAGTTTACTATGTTGACCCCAAGTTGCCAAACTATATTAATTAGGACAACAATGTATATTGTGATGCTCAAACCAGAGCTGCTGTATCTTCCTCTGGTCTTCATACCAATTACAGACAACAGCTAGAAGATGTGGATCTGAATCTGATTAAAGATACTGTGTATTTCTCTTTACCTTAGGAATTTGGAAATCTCTATGTTTTTCTCACTGTGGCTTTTTATTGTTCCAAATTACAGAACACTGATGATTTTAAGGGTTTCATGTTGTAACTATCTAACAATGCTTTGTGCAAAGAATGATAGTTGTATTACATTTGAAATATTTTACTCAGGCCTGATTTGAATAAAAATACTGTTTATAGTCACATGATTAACATATGAGTTCAGTCCGAGCATCAAGTTATTCCTATTTTTCTAATATAAATTCAAGTAAGAAAGTAAATCTCTCCATGTTAGTCGACGTAAACCCTTCAAAAACTCATACTTCTACATCAGCAACATAAAGGCTAGTCACAAATGCATGCAGGTAAATCCATAAAAGCATCATTTTGTGATGCTGTTCTTTCTCACCACAGGTCCAGAGCTTCCTGCGAGGTTGGATTTGCCGCAGGAAGTGGAAGACCATCATCCAGGACTACATTCGCTCGCCCCACGCTGAGAGCATGAGGAAGAGGAACCAGGTGGTGTTTAGCATGTTGGAGGCCGAAGCTGAATACGTGCAGCAACTCCACATTCTGGTCAACAACTTCCTGCGGCCGCTCCGCATGGCCGCCAGCTCCAAGAAGCCGTCCATTACCCACGATGATGTCAGCAGCATCTTCCTTAACAGGTGACTGGTGGTGGGACTGGCTGTGATAGTGGTGTGACTCTGCAGGGAGGGTGCTGCCACTGAACAGTATTTCATAACGGTTATTTTTACTTATGTGTTTTATCAGTGAGACCATCATGTTCCTCCACCAAATCTTCTACCAGGGTCTGAAGGCCAGGATAGCCAGCTGGCCGACACTGGTCCTGGGTAAGATACGCAGAGATCAACCCCCCAGTCAACTGACATTAACCTTGTTAGGATTTGTTAAAGGATCAATATATATAGAAGATATTGCCAGATAAATGTTTACAGGTTGATATATGATATATGTATCTGTGATTTATGTCACAAACCCTGTACAATAGAGGTTGTTTATTTTCACTCACATCATCCGAAAATTATATTATCTCACAATCCGTACTGTAAACACCAATAACTGAATCTCATTGCTCATTGACTTTATGGGTTATTTAATATTTTAATCAAAACACAAGGAATATACAATAAGAATGACATTTGTTTCACTTCACAGCCGACTTGTTCGACATCCTGCTGCCCATGCTGAACATCTACCAGGAGTTTGTGAGGAACCACCAGTACAGTCTGCAGATCCTGGCCCACTGCAAACAGAACCGAGACTTTGACAAGCTGCTGAAGCAGTATGAGGCCAAACCCGACTGTGAGGAGAGGACGCTGGAGACCTTCCTCACTTACCCCATGTTTCAGGTGACTCCAGCCACACGCTTGAGTATTATATCAACTTTGCTGAAGTACTGCCTATATGTGCTTTGCCTCAAAGTGAAAAGTAAAATGCATGTCAGTATCATAAAACAGTCTAGAGCCAATTAATTTAGGTCTTATGCAACATTAGTGGCTGACTTTGAATTTTATTACAGTGAAAACAACATTTGCAATGTTTTAAATGATGCAAATGTCCAAAAGGCTTAATACCTGTTAGTTATCTCAAAATCAGAGAGTGATCTCTGCTGCATCACTTTTGAGTTAGACCTTTACAATAGTGCATCAAAGTACATCTATGCATTATCTTTTCATTTCCAAACTTTCCAATACCTCTATCATTCTCAATCAAATAACAGAACATAAACACATTTTGTGGAACAATCTGTGTTGACGTTAGAGCTGAAATTTTCAAACTTACATCATAAATATAAGACTGATGCTCATGAACATGTGCATCTATCTTCACTTAAAATGAAGATAGATGCACATGTTGATGGAAATATAAAATGTATTGAAAATATTTTATTCATCAAGTAAAAGTAGATTATTAGCTTTCTGTTAAATGAAAAAAATGAGTAATCATAGTTAATGCAACACATTTTTGTTGATTTCAAAAATGTACACTTAAAAACTTTTTTAAAGTTTTAACTCAAAAAGATTAAAAGTGGTTCAAGCATATCTCACTCCCTCTGTTTCTTTCTCTCTCAGATCCCTCGTTACATCCTGACGTTACATGAGTTGTTGGCTCACACGCCCCATGAGCATGTGGAGAGAAATAGTTTGGACTACGCTAAGTCAAAGTTGGAAGAACTTTCCAGGTCAGTCAGTCAAACAACTGAAAAGCCATTGTTTGCTGTACTGTATGTTAGGACTCTAAAACACAGTGTGTTTACATTCATTTTGCATTATAACTAAACCTTTATTTGTTAAAGTAATGCTGTATTTCTGTACAAAGGAATGTCTTGTGTTGAGCTTCATAAAGCACATTTCTGTCCTCTAAGATGAGAAGTGGTGATTAACCACCATTAATTGTGATGTACGTGAATCAATGAGCGTTTGTTGTCCTGTCAGAATCATGCATGATGAGGTGAGTGAAACGGAGAACATCAGGAAGAACTTGGCGATTGAGCGGATGATTGTGGAGGGTTGTGAGGTGCTGCTGGACACCAGTCAGACATTCGTTAGGCAAGGTACGTTTGTTTCATTGTCTGATTAAAACACTGACAGTGAAATTATTTGCTCTCACTGGTTTGTCAGGATTTTGATCAATATATTAATATGAGGGTAAACACTATACTACTGTCTGAAGCCTAAAACTTTATGCAACATTTGAAGCCACCCTAACACCTGAATAAAGCTGAATAAAGTGACCGTTAAGCTTCATACAAATAGCCTATATGAAAATTTACTAAAGAGAATTTATTTGACATATGAGAAAGCCAATCTACAACCTGCTGCATAAGATTATAGACCGACATTCACATTCCAAATTACACATTATAAATGGCTTACAAAGTTTGGACATTAACTTTAAAGGTTAAGTGTGTAGGATTTCACCCTCTCCTTCCAAACATGGAAGAGAACCTGTCGTAGCCTTCAGCTGTCATTAAAACTCAAAGGTCTTTAGTTTGTCCAGTTTGGACTTCTGTAAAAAACATGGCAGCCTCTGTAGAGAGGACCAGCTCCTGATGTAGATATAAAGTATTTGAATATAAAGGGCGGATTCTAGGGTAAAGAAAAACAACAATTCATACAATTGAGATCATCACTAGGATTATTTTATTTTCAATAAATCTCTTTCACCTAAATCTTGCACACTGAACCTTTAAGCTCAAAGTGAAAGTAACCAGAGGGAAATGAATGTTGTCTCACATGTGTTCGTGTCCATGACTCCACAGGTTCTCTGATCCAGGTGCCTATGAGTGAGAAAGGGAAGATCACAAGGGGACGACTGGGCTCTCTATCTCTGAAGAAGGAAGGCGAGAGACAGTGTTTCATGTTCTCCAAACATCTCATCATCTGTACCAGAGGCTCTGGAGGAAAACTCCACATCACTAAGGTATTGCTGGACAGTAGCTGAGATCCAATTAAACTAATTGTGGACTTCCACAAGTTGACCAAATGAACTATTATTTCAGTAGAGGGTGTTATTTTTGTTTCCTAGGAAATGTAAAGCAAAATTTAGTTTAAATGATACACACACTGTATTACCTTGTAACATGCTGTATGTAACATTGCAACCTTTCAACCCTGCCACAGAACGGAGTGGTGTCTCTCATAGACTGCACACTGATGGAGGAGCCAGAGGGCACAGATGATGAATGTAAATTAACACACACAGTGCATTATATTCACTTGTTTCCTCAATACTCTATATATGTAGAAATGCAGAAGGTGATTTGTCCTGCATGAAGTCGATGAAACATCAAGTAATGCAATTTTGTCTGTAACTGTAGCTCCCAAACATCACTGAAAAACAAACTTCAGTCCAGGGTTCATTTAAATTACTAATGCTGTGTTTCTAAAGGGGCCCCTTATGTAGTATTTTACACAATCCTGTGTATTTATTACCCTGCTTGGCCGCTTCATCAAATATTAATCAATAATCACTAAAGTGAGATAAGATAAGATTAGCCAACATAAGAGACAAAATACACCTTTCACTACAGACAGAAATATTATTTGAAGAGATACATACTTGGGTAAAGTGCAGAGGCAAAGGACGATTTCACAAGGATGTATAGGCTGCTGTATTTTTGCAATTTAAATGAGGAGTTATTGAAATATACAAATACATATGTATGCTTATAGAGTGTGATGATTATATAGACAGGTATAAAAATACTTGTCACATAATATTATATTTCAGAGCTACAGACAGTCACATTTTGTTTGCATTTTAGTTTTCTTTTCTATTCCTCTTTTCCAAAGGTCTTGTGGTGTTTGATATCAGTGTATTTTATTCAAATAAAGGTCGGTGAATTTGTGCTTTGCAGCTAAAGGGGAGCGGAGCGGCCAGGACACTGAACATCTGGACTTTAAAGTTATGGTGGAGCCCAAAGACGTCCAGCCTTACACCGTCATCCTGGTGGCTTCATCCCGACAGGAGAAGTCGGCGTGGACCAGTGACATCAGCCAGGTTTGTCTCCTCACTGATATTAAAGTATATAAGTCTGAAAACAGTATATTATAAATAAACACAGAACAGGAGTCATGGAATAAACTGTTAGATGTAAAATTCATTCTAACTGCAGGTTGCATGAATCTACTGCTCCCAACGTATCATATCGACTAAACTATGTTAATCTGTTGTCAGTCACAGTATAGAAGTGATTTATATATTTTGCTTTTAACAATGTTTTGCACAGGCCCACATGTGATCTGATGTGGGATTAGAAACTTGAAGGTTTTGTGAACTCACTCACCCTCTTTGTTATACTGTTATATTCAGACAACACCCCCCCCCCCACTCTCTCTCTCTCTCTCTGTCTACTTGCATTATTACAGTGCATTGACAACATCCGCTGCAACGGTCTGATGATGAACGCCTTCGAGGAAAACAGTAAAGTCTCCGTGCCACAGATGATTAAGTGTGTGTCGGACGCCGCGCAGTCACATACATTATACATGCACAAACAAAGACTGGCATCAGCATCACATGCAGTAGATACACAGTAACATGAAAAATGCATGATTATATGTGCCCAAGCTCATGCTTCTATACTTGTAAGGACCTTTAATGACATAACATATTCTCTGGGCCATAACCTTTAAAATCACAACTACATGCTTAACTGCAAAATGTACCCTGACCTCAAACAGCCCTGTAAACACATGAGAACATGACAAACATGTCTCAATTTTCAAACATCTTCTGACTTTAAAATCAGTCGTCACATGCATTGAAATACAAGAACAATCTAATATCATTCCTTATGAATGTGTGCAAAGCCACCAATTTAGAGCCCTTAAGTTCAGCTCAACTGCAGCCCCGACAAAAATAAAGACATACAAACCCTCACGCTTGGTCCTTTGTACGGTCCAAGGGGCCCTGAATGAGGGGCCCAGTCACATATACGTAAATGTAGCAGTGGCAAACCTTTGCCTCCTAGGTCAGCAGCAGAGAGGGGGCTGAAAAAACATTTGCTCCCTGTGCCGAAGCTAATTACAGCGTGGCTTTACATGAAGTTCCTGAATTTTGAAATTCATATTCAGGTATATGTGACTGAGCCCCAAGAGTTCCTTGAGTCATTTAAGGCCCCTAGAGGCCAGAACCATGGACCCACTAGTACAATGCATGAAAATTGAATCAGACTTTGAAACCTTTTTTGGCCCTGAAAGACTAAAACTACTGTATTTTGCCCGTAATAGAAAGTAATCTTGTTCTATTTGTATAGAAAACAAATCCATATCTATATATGCTACACATAACATACATACAGTTTAGTAGCATAGGTAACATACTAACCTCATTTGCTCTTTCGACACAGGTCTGACACCAGCTTGTACTGTGATGACGTTGACATTCGCTTCAGTAAGATGATGAACTCCTGTAAGGTGCTGCAGATCCGCTACGCCAGTGTGGAGCGCTTATTGGAGAGGCTGACAGACCTGCGCTTCCTCTCCATCGACTTCCTGAACACCTTTCTCCACTCCTACCGCGTCTTCACCAGCGCCGACGTGGTGCTGGACAAGCTAATCACCATATACAAAAAGCCCATCAGTGCCATCCCTGCACGGTGAGCGTGTGTGTGTGTGTGTGTGTGTGTGTGTGTGTGTGTGTGTGTGTGTGTGTGTGTGAACATGTTTTATGCACCTTTTTAAGACCTTTTCTAGCATAAACATTGACCCTGCAGGACCAACACACATCATGGGGCCTGAAGCTTGGTCCTAATGAGGCAAAATGTCCTTTCTGGGGTCCTGGTTAAGGTTGGGGGTATGAAGTAAAATTTTGCGTAGGTTTAGGGTTATGGGAATGAATCTCTGTGGGTAAACAGTCTGTTTGGAGATCGATTCATTAGCTATTTGCTTTTTAATTCAGATTAGCCAAAGTGTCACCTGGACCTAAAACACCTAAAAAACTATCAATGTTTATGTTTTGTGTGGAGAAACATTCCACTTGTGTTGACTTCTACGGCCAACGGAGGACGGAGTCTTGGCCCGGATATCCGCTGTCAACACCGGAAGCCCCAAAATATTGGCTGTTGACCCCAGAGGCTAAGAGCCAATGGGCTGTGAGATTGTGCATGAATTGGTCATGGTTAAGGTTTTGGATGAGGATTTGTTTCGGCTGTCCAAAATGGCTGGAAGTCACTATGGATAGCTGCGTAAACCTGTGTGTGTGTGTGCTTTAACAACATGGGACAGCTACGTTCCAAGGCCTAGTAAAATGTGATCAAGTCTAATATGTGAAGTCTTCATTATACAACAATATCAACCAGGCACAGAAAACGTGTATCAACCAGCAGAAAGATGACCTGGACGTAGCCCAGCTCTGCAGCAGTTTGCACATGAGAATAGCTCTAGTTACCTCAGAGTTATTTGAACCCTTTTTGTTGAATATTTCTATATTTGATCGATCCCTGAGCACTCTATTAGCATGTAAATCATGTAAATGAACACTGTTATGTGTCTCTCAGAGGTCAATCCCTGCAGCTCGTCACCACTGAACAAAGAACAAAGTTTTGTTTTCCACTCGTTTTCTCCTGAAGATGCAGCGACACTGCCGTGGTAATGGTGCAGTGAAAAGGTGGGACTTCCCCGCTGTTTGATTTTGTCTTTTTCACTCACGTGGACCGGTCAATGCGCAGCCTGTCATGCGATGATATCTCGTCCAGGTGGGAAGGGACTGGAGAGGAGGCAGCGGGGGTCACGCCGACACATCTTCAGTCCGCCATCACAGTTAATTGGGTCCCGCGTCCACCCACCTTACCCCAACCCCTCCTCTTCTCTCTCGTTACTCTCTTTACCCTTTACCGTTCTCTCGCTTTTTCTTTTTCTTTCCACAAGTCTGACCATCCCTCTCTCCGCTGCGCTGTCACCATGGCAACCCCTCACTCTGCTGCAGGACCCCACCCTCTCTACTTGTCTCCTCGTCTTCTCACTCCCTCTCTCTCTCTCTCTCTCTCTCTCTCTCTCCCTCTCTCTCTCTTTCTCTTTCTCTCCCTCTCGCTCCTTTTCTCCCATCATCTGCAGTGGCTCTACAGTATTAAATATTGATGGTGGTGTTTTGCACCCAGAACTCTCCTATCCTCCTCCTCCTCCTCTTGTGTCTTCCTTACCTGCTTACATCCTTCTCCTCGCCTCCTACTTATACCTCCTCTTTCCCTCAGCCCTCATCTTTCCTCCTCTCATCTCCCTAGTTTTACTGTTTTTGCAAATACAGGCGAGGAGACACAACATGGCTGCAGCTAACACCAAGGAGGCTTCCCATTCGCCCACTCTCATACAGCCTTAGCTGTGGTGGAATCCATATCCACTATGTTGCTCCTCTCTCGCCCCCTGCCTCTCTGTCTGTTTTCTCCCCTGCTTTTTTTTTTTTTTGCATTGCACCTCTGTCTCTTTCTCCCACTTCCCCTCTCTCCATCTCTATCTGGCTCCCCTTTTCGCTCAGTCTCTCTCTCCCTGTGTCTCTGTGGGCCTCCCCTGGGCTGGTTGCTGTTGGCAGCACCCGTGCCTCCCACACTGTCACTTGACATGCTATTTATAGGCCTTCAGAGGGGGTGGCTCTCAGTGCAAGGAGGATGCTGTCTTAAACAATGTAGCTTAAATAAAAGAGGCAAGATCTCCCGGAGAGCCCTGTGGTTTACGTGTTCCCTCTCTGCTTCTGTGTACAGACACCAAGCGCCACGATCCCCCATCTCTCCCCCTACCACTGTCACCCTTTGAGGCTGCTGAATTTATTTTAAACTGTTCTTTTTTCAGTTGTGAACAAGAGTTGCTGATGTTCAACCTTCTGTCTTTTTCACACAACTCCTTACATTTTCCCCTCTCTCTTATTCCCTCCTTCTCTGCAGCTCTTTGGAGCTTTTCTTTGCCAGCAGCCAGAACAACAAACTCCTCTATGGCGAGCCACCCACGTCGCCGCGTGCCAGCCGCAAGTTCTCCTCCCCTCCTCCTCTCTCCATCACCAAGACGTCCTCGCCCAACCGTCGTCGCAAGCTTTCGCTCAACATCCCCATCATCACAGGGGGCAAAGCCCTGGACCTGGCCGCGCTCAGCTGCTCCCCCAATGGCTATGCAAGCATGCACACCACCATGTCCCCCTTCAGTAAGACCACCCTCGACATCAACAAGCTGTATGTGTCCAGCACCATGGCCAGCAAGATCCCTGACGAGGGAGAGCCCAAAGCCGAAGGCAAGGCTGAGGAGAGTGTCCTCAACAAGCAAGGTCAGAACCACTGTCCGAGGGATTGTAGTCAGTTTTAATGAGGAGCTTGTTCACTGTGGTTTCAGTTTTACAAGTCCCCTGTCCACGGCTCACATCTATCATATATGTTACCTCTGTATTCCATTAAAGTGAAGCTTACGTAATTCACATTTTTTTTATATAAAGGGTATCACTTGGGATTTAACTCCCAAGGACTGGTCAAAAGATTCTCAGGTTGTACATGTGGAATCATAATGTTATATCAGATAAAAAAATTAAATTGTGTTTATTTTGGGATAAAACATTTGGTTTGATATCAGCATTATCAACTATAACATTTTTATATTTTTAAATAAAATATTTGATGACAGTAATTTATATTTCATATAAAATGTTTCCTGTTTTTAAAATTAATGGACTTTGTAGTTTCAACAATTTTTGTCTCGACCTTCTGTTCAATACCATAGCCTCGATCTCAGTGGTTACATCCACACATTTCTTTGTCACACATTTGTTCCAACTGTCTCTCCACTTCATGTGAAACACTTTCTCTGTGCAGATCTTTCAGTGAGAGAGGAATGTGATGAGGAACCAGGTCAGAGTGACGAGGCAGAAGCAGAAATGTCTCCTCCCAAGTCCCCATCAACACCTAAGAATGTCAAATCAAAAAACTCTGGTACAGTATGTCTCTGTATCTCCATTATTGTGTTGTACTTTTAAGCTTTGTCCAAGACTTGTTTAGAATGTCTTGGAATGTACTTCTAAATTCCAACACACCAACAAACTAATGAGTTGACAAGCACATTGAGCACAATGTAAAATCTGGGAAACTACAGTAGCTTAGTGCTTAGTGATGGCGGCATTTATATAGAACTCACCAGAGTCATTTCTTGGCAAAGAACCGATCAATATTCATCAACAGATATTTTTAATAATTATATCTATAACATAACAGCTATTCATAAGCTAGAGATATACTTGTTTTTACCTTTCTATTTTCTGGAGTACAGGTTTGGCAGGATATTTACTGACTGAATTTGCACTTTGAATAATTCTGCAAATTTTTGTACAAGAAGATTAATGTTTCACTCATGTCTGTGAAGGAAAATATTATTCCATCACCTGCAGTCTGTTAGCTTAGCTAAGCATAAAAACTGGGAACAGGGGCAACAAAGTAGCTTGGCTCTGTCAGAAGGAAACAATATCAGGACCTACAATATGTTATACAAGATAAACATTATATGTTTTGTCAGTCCAAAGACTGATATGTAAATATGACATGTGTTTATGGATGGTCACTCTATTCAGTCAGATGAGGTTGCCAGGTAACCAAAGAAATCCCAGGATGTCAAATCTTAAAAGTGAATTTCTCAAAATGTCAAACTATTCCTCTCTTACACCTGGAACTTTCAACTGCACATTTCTTGGAGTTACACAATAAATAAAAAACTTTAAATACTAAAAAATATTCTGTTAAGTGCAATTATTAGCAGGAAAACCTGGCAGGTGTAACTGAACAGTGGAAACATTCTCGATTATATCTACATCACAGGAAAGAAAATATGTTTTCCAGTTTTCCAAACATGTCTTAAATCTAAAAAGATGAAAACCCCACACTCAGACTGAGCAGGTGAGACAAGTTACACCGAGTTAAATAAAGATGGACTTGTAGCTAACTTCTCAGAAAGCAAGGAGTGTAATTTCAGCCAAATAAGGTCTTGATAAAAACCACCCACAGCCTCCTGGCCCTTCCCATACTGCAGAGAGAGGGAGCATCTAGCCTGTAGGTCGTCAGGCACAATTCATCCCCAGTGTGTTCTCTTCCCACGGTGCTGGATACAAGGGAAGCCAGCGCCTTGTGTGAGTAGGTGGAAGGAAACCTTGTACCTTAGCAACGATGTGCGTGTTCTTCTATACCGCCCCCGGCTGAATGGAGGTAGGCAGGGAGGGAGGGAGAGAAGGAGGGAGACAGGGAGGCAGACATGGTGGAGTGTACGCCATCACCACCACGAGCTGCAGGGCACACTGTGCTGGGTCCGTTTTAGCTCTTTGTTCCCCTCTAGTGGTCAACAAAGGGAATTAAGTCACCTTTAAAGGCATAGTTCACTATAAAATGAAATTCCCTTCGACTCACCACTATGCCGATGGAGGGGTGGGTGAAGTGTTTGAGTCCAGAAAAGACTTCTGGAGTTTCAAGGGTAAACAGCATTGCAGCAGAATCCAATACAATTGAAATCCTAAATATCCTCTGATATCTTCCTACGAGGTGCGTTCAGGGACTTTTGTGAAACCATTGTGTTGCTATGTCCACAAGCTTTGCCATGTCTGGTGGATTTTTAGTCTTAAACACAGTGTAAATGACACCATTATAGTGGTGAGTAGAGTAGAGTGAATATTTGTTTTCGGTGAGCTATCCCTTTTATAACCTAATAAATCCTTCACATTACGAACAATAATGAAGAGTAATTAAGGGATTTAACTTCAAACATCTCGATTTGTTTCCCTCCTTGCAGAGTTTTCCCTGTTTTCCTTCAACAATGGCATGGTGGTGTCATCTTGCCGGGAGCTGGACAATAACCGCAGTGCCCTCTCTGCCGCCTCGGCCTTTGCCATCGCCACAGCTGGTGCCAATGAAGGCACGCCAACCAAGGAGAAGTACCGTCGTATGTCCCTCGCCAGCACAGGTCAGACACACTAGGGGAGGTGTATCTGTTGGCTTGTTGAGGATTGTTTATATTATTGTGCTTTCATTTAGATATGCTATAATTAAAAGTGTTATCAGGTACAAAAACACATTGGTTTCATAACATGATTTTGGAAAAGTTTTTGGTGAAAAACATTTACATTGTCACATCTGTTGTTCGGGTGTGTATAATTCTAAAATAAAGAATCGTGCAAAGCAAGAATATAAGCTAGGATAATGTCTGGACATGATTTTCTTAAACATGCTCCCAGGTTTTCCTACGGACCAGAGGAACGGGGACAAAGAGTTTGTTATCAGAAGAGCTGCCACAAACAGAGTCCTGAATGTGCTGCGTCACTGGGTCTCCAAACACTCGCAGGTACAGCTCATTTTCCTCCTTTTCTTGTTTCTGTCGCTCTATGCCTTTTCAGAAGAAAAAACCCAACACTTGTGTGATGACACTGTTGTTGTTGTGTTGGTCCTCAGGACTTTGAGCTGAACACAGAGCTGAAGATGCGGGTAATTGGTTTCCTTGAGGAGGTGATGCATGACCCAGAGCTGCTGACACAGGAAAGAAAGGCAGCTGCCAACATCATCAGGTTGGTTTCCTGTTATCCTATTAATAATGACACTTGAGAGTCTCCAATGAACCCAACTAGTCTACGTGTCTTTGGACAGTAGGAGGAAGCTGGAGTACCTAGAGGAAACCCACTCAGACACAGAGAGAACATACAAACTCATACATTTGAACTGGAAACCCTCTTGTTGTGAGGCGACAGTGCTAACCACAACATGACCATGCCACCCTGGAAACAATCAGACAACAATCCTCCTCTGCGGAAGATAGAACAAGCACTTACATTTGTGTAGCACAGGAAAAATGGAGCAAAAGAAATACAGTATTGTGTGTAAACTAACCAACCTGCCTGCATGATTAAATTATGAATCTGAAGCCAGAAGTGCCTATAACCCAAACTGAACAGATACTAGAAAGGAATACAAAAGTTTACTGGGTCAACTTTTCTACTTTTCATCAGGTTAAATCCATTTACATTGTTAAAGGTCGAAGTGATTTTGGACAAAACTGACCAATAATGGCACGTTTGTCTTTTTGTATGCAGGACTCTTACTCAGGAGGACCCTGGAGACAACCAGGTCACCCTGGAGGAGATCGCACAGATGGTGAGGAAACATTACAAAAGCCTTTTCAGTATTAAAAAAAAACCTTTTACTTTAAATTGCTGTGTGTCCTGTAGAAATGATTTACACGCCATTTACTATCTGTGTATGTGTGTGTGCGTGCGTGTGTGTGTGTGTGTGTGTGTGTATGTGTGTGTGTGTGTGTGTGTGTGTGTGTCAGGCCATGGAGGACTGTAAGACTGAACCATTTGAGAGCCACTCTGCCCTGGAGATAGCGGAGCAGCTCACACTGCTGGACCACCTGGTCTTCAAGGTCATCCCATACGAGTGAGGCGCACGCACACACTCAAACAAAGCCACTCGCTCTATCAAATAAAAACAAGTCATAGAGGCTGAGTGGGAGGGTGAGGGAAGTGCACATGTTGTGTGTTTTTCATTGTTGATCATTTGAAAACATTTATTTTCAACAGGGAGTTCTTCGGTCAAGGCTGGATGAAGAACGACAAGAACGAGAGAACTCCGTACATCATGAAAACAACCAAGCATTTCAACGATGTACGTGTCTTATCTAACAGATAGATAGATAGATAGATAAACATTATTATCAAGATGTCTGTTATTTTTTTTGTCAGATCAGTAACAGGATCGCCACAGAGATCCTGCACTGGGACGATGTCAACATGCGTGTTGGGGTGATGGAGAAATGGGTGGCGGTGGCTGACATCTGCCGCTGCCTCCACAACTACAACGCAGTGCTGGAGATCACATCCTCTCTGAACCGCAGCTCTATCTTTCGCCTCAAGAAGACCTGGCTCAAAGTCTCCAAGCAGGTACCGGCCTCTAATCTGATCATGATTTCTTTCAGTTGAGATGTTTTACCTTTGTTTTTTTCTGGACATCCCAGCCAAGAAATAATGTCCTATGCCAAGGAGGTTATGTTTTTATCAGTGTTTGTTCGTTAGTTAGCAGGAAGTACTTGAAGGAAGGGCTCAGGAATCCTATCAGGGGACTGATCTAGGATTTTTCTGATCTGATCTTTTTTTCTCCTTTCTTTAACTTTGTTTTTTAAATTTTCAATGATTTCTCAGAAAATTATTCATGGTTCACATTGAAAAACAATCTGCACATTTAAACAATCTAGTTGTTTTTAATCTTTGGTTTTACCTCTTCTTACCTTTGGACAGATGCAGGCAAGTGGTTTCCAAGTTTCCAGTGTTTATGCTAAACTAAGTTAAGCTAAGCTACCTGCCTCCTAGCTGTAGCTTCACATTTACTCGACAGCTATGAGAGTGAGATGATCTGATTGATCTTCACTTCTGATTCTTTGCACAGAAGTGTTCCTCGGGCCTTTGAGCATTTCATTCTTTCATTTTTTAGAACAAATAACATCAAACTAAACACAATATTTTGCAAATCAAACAAAGTGAATAGACAATAACATGCTCAGAGAAATAAATCTGATACATTCGCCTCGGTTCATGAAACTTTGTCTACAAAACATTTAAATTAAATTTCTGGATGTAACCTTTTTTGTCCTGGTACATTTTCCAGACAAAGACTGTGATCGACAAGTTACAGAAGCTGGTGTCCTCAGAGGGACGGTTCAAAAACCTGAGAGAAGCTCTGAAGAAGTAGGTATCCACAGCTCCTCTCTCTCCTGGATTCTACTAGAGAGATTTTTACTTGCTTCTTATATGTTTGTTCATTGCTCTTTGTGTGTACACCTGTATAACTGCTGTGTCCCTCTGACCCGCCTGCTGTCTTCAGCTGTGACCCTCCCTGTGTCCCCTATCTGGGAATGTACTTGACCGACCTGGCCTTCATCGAGGAGGGAACGCCCAACTACACAGAGGACAACCTGGTCAACTTCTCTAAGATGAGAATGGTAAAAACACCCATGTGATGATCTACATTCTTCACATCAAATGATTCAATTCGTTTTTTTGTAATGTGTATCTTCTGTGCTCATTTAATCATTTTTAGTCTGTAAGGTTGAATTTTTTCTTTCACTTGTCTTCAGATATCCCACATCATCAGAGAGATACGTCAGTTTCAGCAAACAGCTTACAAGATTGATAATCAACCAAAGGTGAGATTATTATTACTTTCCTTACATACACTTCGATTACCTGTCTGGATGTGTTACTTGAATGTATCATTTCAGTTTTTTACAGATTTACATCTGTATTGATTTGTTCTCAAAAATAAATGACCTTGAAAACTCTTTATTTCCATTTAACCTTAAATAAAGAGGCCACTGAGAGGTTTTGTATAAGACCAGACTGAGATGTACTGCCCCCTGTGGCTTTATAGATATAATGTATACCTGTGATTACTAGTCAGTGATTATTAGCAATACAGTAAACATTTCTGTATTTTTTTTTGTCCAAACAACCACACTACATAATATTGATAAAAGTTTGGCTGATCCTAATTTAAGATTTTTAACCTTTCCTGTTCGACAACCAAATAAAAGAAAATACACACCCTTTTTTTTAGATTCTGTCTGGCAGAAAACTGTACAGAGTTACAAAGCAATAAACTCATGAATGCATTTACAAAATGAACCCTGACCCAAATTTTTAAAAAAAAACAAAACATTTTGTGTGTGTTCTTTGTGGCTGCAGGTGGCAAAGTACTTGCTGGACTGTAGTACAGCTCTGGACGAGGAGAGCCTCTACGAAGCGTCTCTGAGAATCGAGCCCAAAACTTCATCATGAGGAGGATGTCCCTCAGCCCTCACATGGACAGTACACAAACTATATATCATAATGTACATATGCTATTATTTGTATTAGACACAGTAGGCCGTTCTCTTCTGGTATGTGTTCCCCAATGGACCCGTTCTGTATAACTGTTATTAGAGACTTGAGTAGAAGCCCAGAGAGGTTTTATTTATATAGTCACAGAGTATTTATATGTTATTTATCGTCTTAAACTCCACTTCTCAATGAAGCTATTTTCAACCACAGAATAAATAATAATAAAAACAGCCAGGAGATTACACAGACATGATACTTACCCTCATCATACTGGAAATATGCAGCATAACAAAGACGCTCATTCATGAGAGGTGGCGGTCGCATTCGACACATGACCATCAACCTTTCTGCTCACATGTCAAAGTCAAGAGAGAACTGCAGAAATAGAGATAAAGACATGTAAACGTGTTGGAGTCAAAGTAACGCACCTGCTGATTCTGATGGGGACTGTTTTTTTCAGTTTGAGGAGACGGGTTTTAAACGCTTAGCTTACTGTCAACTTATTCCCCTGGTGGGCATCATGATGTATATATCCAGTATAAGCACTGGACATTGTATGTAGCAGATGTAACCAATATTGAGCCACTTCAGGAAGTTAAATTCCCAGCTTTTACATTCAAAACAGCGAGAGCATAGCTTTTGTGGTTAATCCTCTTTGGCCAGTGCATTATGGTTTTTGCCTTAATCATGAAATGGATTATATACCACAGAACTATGTCAACTATTTTATTCTACAATTTGCCAAATGAAGCAGAGACACTTGCCCTGTACAATATTAATGTACAGGCAGTCTGATGCATTTCCTGATGTGCAATGTGTTTAAAGACATGTCCCTCAAAATGTGTTATTCTTATGATCGTTCAACTCTGTAATAACTTTTTCCTGTGTATGACACCTTAAAACAAATGTTGAAAACAACTTATAAGTGTAACACATTCTGTATCCTGTCTACAATGTGTTAGCAGGAGCTATAGTAATATTGTGCTTACTCTTGGAATATTTATATGTATTTTTTACAGGCTTTGTATAGAAAAACACCTAAAGCTTAAGTGGCAGGCATGTACCACTTTCACGTGTTTAAATCAAACCTATATCTAGAACAGTTCGTGTTCTGTATTTACACCCCGCCCTTGCACATGCATCTTTACCCTCTAACAGGCACATCAGATGTTGCAGTGAGCAATACCCAGTGGTATGAGAATTATATTTCAGTCTGTTTCAACAGCTTGAGTAATATTTCCAGTTTTGTATAAAAGTGTATTCTTTCCTGATTACCTCTTGTTAATAAATCTATTCTTTCTCAGGGGGAGAAGGCTCTGAAGGCTGCCGAGTGTTTGTTTTGTGCTGTATTAGCCCAGGAGCTTCGTGGCTCTGGCTGTGTAGGGTGAACAAATCAAAAGGGTTTCAGAGGAAGGGCGGTGTTGAGGGGGAGTTTTTGTAAAAAGCAGTGGACTCATGTGATGCTCTCTAAACTTCTCTGAGCTTGCAGAGTGGAAGTATGGCTCTCGCTACTGTTTGGTTCCTCACCGCAATTTTGACTCTTGTTCATTTGAGACCATTGACCACACTTGAAGGTAAGTTAACACTCATGATTTCATTAATTTGTTCTTGTTAAATGCAAAATGTCACAGGGCAAAGTGTTGATCATTTGGCTGCTTTATTTACTATTGGCTTTATTCTGTGTCCTGTCAGAAGAACATCAATTCAGACAATGGATGTTACAGGTGAAGTTATTGAAAATTCACACTCAACAGTCTTAATGAATGTATTTATTTTGAATGTGTCCATAACAGCCCAATCATTTCCTTGTTATGTTGTTACATCTTTTTGTCGTGCAGCACAACAGAGTTTACAACACCGAGGAGGAGTTTTACCAGCGGATCCAGATATTCATGGAGAATAAGAGAATGATTGATCGTCATAATGCTGGGAATCACTCCTACACAAGTACACTTCAGTTCTGAACTCACTCATGTCTCATAATGATTGCTGCATAAACTAACAACACGAAAAGGAACTGCTGTGTGTTATAAAAGGCTGTTTATTTTCAAATCTAGTGGGCCTGAATCAATTCTCAGACTTGACAAATGAGGAGTTTAGGAAGCTCTACCTAATGTCAAGCACATGGCCACAGGTATAACACATTTTATCACATTTTATTTTATGCAGCCTGATGTTTTACTGTACGTTTTTTTTGCCCCCCCCCCCCCATCGTACACAGAGAGAAGCAGAGGCAGAGACCAAAAGAGATATATAAACACTGCTCTGGATCATGGACTTCACTCTGCTCGGTAAGTTAATAATGAAGCTGCTCTCTGGACTCACTGACTGATGGACAGACAGATCTTTGATACGGGTTCGGGAAGTGTTTTTGTCATAGAAAGATAAACATCGTGGTTCACTCAGAATAAACAGAAAATGATCTTTCACCTGACTTTTAATGTTTATCTGATGAATTTATGTCACAAACAAAAAAGTTGCAACACTTTCTGTAGGTGTTTCAACATAAAAGCACTCCAGCGTTTCTGTTGACCAAATCCAAAAGGGGTTTTTATTGTAAAATATTTGCAGGAGCGTTACTTGATAATGGATCATATCGTTTCTGAATTTAGTACTTGTATTTACATTTTGCGAGATAAATTGTACAGACAGCTAACCTCACTCATCTTTTCACAGGACATGCTGGCAAAGGTGGAATATGGTGCAAGGATGTCAATGGAGTGGATGATTCAAGAATAAATGTGTTTTAAACTCACACGGCCTCTTTATTTAATTCATGACACACATCAGGAAGATCATCCCACCCACCCTAAACTCTCTGCAGTTTGCCCATTAACACAATAGGTCCACTGATGATGCAATAAACGCTGCCTTACACATAGCCCTCACACACTTATGTTAGGATGCTGGTGTTGATTATAGCTCTGCTTTTAACACAGTAATTCCACATAGGCTTTTGGAGAAGCTGCTGTCACTCGGATTGACACGTTCCCAGTCTGGCTGGGTGCCGGACTTCCTGTCTGGCAGGCCACAGTCGGTGAGGTTGGGGGGGCAGACATCGGGCATCAGGACTGTGAGCACAGGAACCCCCCCAAGGCTGTGTTCTCAATCCACTCCTATACACAATCTCTTAACATATGACTGTGTGGCCTCCCAGCCTGGCACCAGCATCATAAAGTTTGCTGATGACACCACAGTAATCGGGCTGGTGACAGACGGGGAGGTGACGTTGTATAGGAGGGAAGTGGCTGGGCTGGTTGCCTGGTGTCTGAACAATAACCTCTCGTTAAACGCTGAGAAGACTAAGGAGATGATTATTTACCCCAGGAAGAGGCGACAGCAGCACACTCGGTGACACTGAGGTAGGGAGGGTTAAGAATTTCAAATTCTTGGGGATACACCTCAGTGATGACTTCAGCTGGTCACACAACACCCACCAGCTCCTCAAGAAAGGACAGCAGAGACTGTATTTCCTGAGGAAGACTAAGGAAGTTTGGCATGTCAGCCAAGATCCTGCAGTCGAGAGTGTCATCACCAATGCCATCACAGTGATGGCACGGCAGCTGCACTGTGCAGAACAGGAGGGCTCTGCAACGGCTGATAAAAACAGCACATCACCGGTGCTGCCCTTCCACCATTTACACCACAGGGGCCATGAGGAGGGCCCAAAACATTACAAAAGACAACACCCACCCCCCACACTACTCCTGTATTGCCTTCAGGAAGGCAATACAGGAGTGTCAAAGCAAGGACGACATGCCTGGCAAACAGCTGCTTCCCACAGGCCATCAGACTGTTAAATACAACTTTGAACTCCAAAATAGAGTGTAATAAGACAAAAAGAGTCAAATAAAGAATGAAATGAAAGTACATTAAGAGAACAGCAGCATCAAGAAGAAGTCCAGGCACAGAAAGAATTTTCAAGATTTGGTCCGTCGTGTAATTCTTGAATTTTTACCTAACTCTGCCAGAAGATGGCGACATCGCTCTGTTGGAAGCAGACCCAAGAGCGAGAACGAGCTGTCGATCAAATGTTCAAGGCGTTCATTGGCCGCGAACAGGCGAGAACGGCCCCCTCATTCCGGTGACGTAAAACTTCCAACCAATGAGCTGCTGCGGTTCTGTTTCACAACCCAGAGGGGGAGGGTGTTGTTACAAAACTTGTGGAGCATGTGGCGCCAACTGAGCCCAGTGATCAGCTGAGAGGTTCGACCCGGGATCTGCTCAGCAAGAAGCTCCTCTCACCCAATAAACAATATGTCGACAACACGGACTAAACGTAAAGCGGTTGTGAAGGTGTTAATGGTGAGTTCGTGCTTAGTTTTTATGTTTCCTGCAGTTGTATTCGCTAACAGCTTCCTCTTCTTTAGAGTCAAATGTTATTTGATGTCCGGTGTGTTGTGAGTCTCTGTAAACGTTGTACTTGTTAGTCATAGTAACATAAAGAGTAGTTCAGCTGCTGAGTTGGTGTTTAACAGAGTTAATGTTACAGGAGAGGACTCCCGTGGATCTGCAGGATTCAGTCCGACGATCATCTCGAAATGCCTTGGCTCCAAAACGTCTTCAATACTCTCCTGATCTAGCAACAGCGGAAGCCACCAACAAGAAGAGGGTGAGGTGACACCCAACAAACGCGTAGAGGCACGATTGTGTGCTTTAGTTTGCGGTTTTGCTGATATGTCCACGTTTTCATGGCAGAAAACAAAAGAGCGCAAAGATGAAGACACTCAGAACAAGACGCAGGACCTGAAGGAGGAGGAGGAGGAGCAAAGTAGTGAGCATGTGTCTGTAAGTGTGAGCCCTGCACCACTGATCACACTCACCACTGTTATTAACCTTTCTGAAAGTATGTACAGAACACGAGTGCCTTTGTGTCACACAGAGTGGACATGAGGGACTGTCTCTGTATGAACTGGAGCGGCTGGAGAACATCAGGCAGAACCAGGCCTTCCTGTCCTCCATCAACTTGTTCCAGGTAGATACACAGGAGCTGATCATCACACAACATGTCTCAATATACATGATCACAAATCACCCAGGGATATTAAAGCTGGAATATCCATTATTACTGACACTGTGAGTCTCATTCTGACACAACTTAACTCTCAGAGCAGTTTCCACTAACCACACAGACTTTTACATTACGTGAAAACTATTTATGTTAAACTAAGTATGTTTACTTTATGTTTTTTTAGAAAGAAGTTTCCATTGATCATTTTGAAGACCATTTTGCTGTATGACTATTGTACTTTTATTCTTAAGTTATGCACTTTAATTGTTTTTTTAGTTTACTGTCTCACACAATAAACTCATTTAGTTTATTTAAATTGTTATTTACAAGAACTTGTTGTTATTTTCACTCATAATACACTTTAAATTATACTTTCACTTGGAGCACTAGCTCAACAATTTCTTTGGAGATTAATTCTTTATCTCATATTACCAAGCCGTTGTGATATGATGGATACACTGATTTTTCACAGCCATCTCGTGACACTGTCACATCCTGTCACAGAACAGATAGGATTTGTATTAACTGTTCATGTCTTTGTCTAAAGGCCACTGAAGGGCTCAAGCAGTTGTCACGACCAAAGCCATCACAGAGGGGTCTCATGAGGTATGTTTGGGTGACTGATAGTTACTGCAGAGCTCTTATTTATTTTTTGGTTGGGTTGCAAGTATGGTGAGGTGTAAAAATTGAAGTTACACAACATTTCAATAAATGTAGTGACATCATTCACTGTGCTGTTATATATAGGTTATAACTGATGGGGAATGTGAGTGTAACAAATGTGCATATTGCTGAAAGCAAATGACTTATTAACCAAAATGGAAATCTCACATATTTGATCATTTATCATTAAGACAAAATGTTGGTGCATCCTGTAAAACATGGGGATTTGTTTTATTTCTTCTTACGCAAACTTCATGGACTTAATGCGACTGAGCAGTGATCACTTTGTTTTTGACTGATTAAATTTATTCTGTTTGTTACTTTCAAACGTTAAAGATCAGAGTCTAAGTCAGAGAAATATCTTGATGTTTTTGGCAGGTCAAACACTGCTGCAAAAGAAGTGCTGCCACCTCGCAAATCCCTTCGTCTCCAAAATAAAGAGGCAGAGATCCTGACACTTCCCCCTGAACCCAGAGGGACACTGATCTATGAAGAGGTATAAAGCCACATATAAATAACCTCATGATACATGTAGAGGATTATCCCTCAATTCATACTGCTCCACTGCTCTCTGTCTGTCTGGCATGTCTTTGCCTTTGTTGCTCACTTTGTTCACCTTTGTTTACTTGTTTTAAAGTCTAAGTCACTTAAGAAGCCTGCCGGTCCTCTGCCCATGGATCCAGTCAACATGGAGGAAGGAAGCAAGCTGCCATCACAACTTTTTAAGATCTGCTCAGAGGTAGGACACCAGCAACCACAGGAAAAACCTTATATACCTTATATACCTTATAAACCTTAATTTATATAAAGTGATACAACTAACATTATATTACTGCTAAGTTTTTCCAACTGAAAATGTTTTACCTGAAAATGTTTTATGCATGCAGTGCTGTTAATCTGTTATGCTTCCAGCACACCTTTTTTTAAATTGTTATTTAACTCTGCTGCTTGTAAAGTAATTAATTGCAAAACATTGCTTTTCTTTTCATAGACAACAAAAGAAAGAAAAGATGAGCTTGATCTGAAAAAGTAAGTTTTGGAATTTTGAGTTTCAGTTTATTGCTCATTTGTTAAAGAAATTACTGCTCCACCTCTGGCACCATATCTTTTTGAGTCATATATTGATAAAGACGTTTTGTGCAAACTGATATCACAACTCTGTTTGGTGTGTTGATGTAGTTACAGCTCGGCTCTGAAGAAAATGAAGATTACTCAGGAGAGAGTGGCCAAAGTGGTGAAGGATCGAGTCTTCTCTGCTGCGTTCCACCCCTGCAGCAGCAGCCTGCTGATGGCCGCAGGAGACAAGTGGGGAAAAGTTGGGCTCTGGAAGTTGGTAGGTTTTATTTTTCTGCTCTAATCTTGAAGACTGATATATGTCCACTAGAGGGCAGCATGCATGCTCAAAACACTCCTAACAACAGGCCTTGACTGTGTTGAACCAGCACAGTGAGAACAGCATTTTGAAATGTTTTCTAAAAACTAACAAAACAAATGCCTTTCCTGGTTTTTACATTTTGTGCATGTCTATATTCCTTATAGGGTGCTGATTGGGGAGATGATGGTGTGCTGCTCTTTGAGCCTCACACTCGTCCAGTTAGCTGTATGGCGTTCTCCAGGGCTCACACCACCCAGCTGCTGAGTCTCAGCTATGACGGCTCTCTTCGCTGTATGGATATAGAGAAAGCAGTCTTTGACGACGTGAGATAATTCTGTTCAAAGTGTTTATGTTTCTTTTAGATAAATATTGTAGAAATAGTAAAGTAAACCAATTGCACCTTTTTCTGGAGATAAAAATAATAAGATAATCTGTGCAGCACTTTAACGCCAAAGTCGAGGTATTAATAGTAGATGTGTGTCTATGTTGATCGTTCCAGGTGTATGACATTAAAGATGGCCTGAAAACCTTTGACTTCATGTCTCATGACTGTTCGACACTAGTCGTCGGGGACTGGTACGGAGATGTTGCCATCATTGACAGGCGCACCCCAGGGTACTCATAACTCTTTCCCTGATGTTGAGGAATAGCAATATGGATGAACTTCAAATATGATTATTATGATGAGTTTTGGTGATTCATTTCCCTGCAGTAACTCCCATGAGTCCGTCCACTCACTGGACCCAAAGAGTCTGCGTTGTGTTAGTGTCCACCCTGTGCAGAAGCACTACTTTGCTGTGGCAGAAAACAGGTATGGCTGAATATGGACTTTTTAATTCATAATCTGTCACTTTTTGTTGTTTTTATTAATGTTTTAATCTTGTCTACAGGATAGTGAGTATTTACGACAGCAGATGCCTGAAGAAAACAAAATGCCAGGCAGTCTCTCAGCTGCACGGCCACTCATTGAGCATATCCAGTGCTTATTTCTCCCCTCACACAGGGAACAGAGTTCTCACCACCTGTATGGATAACCACATCAGGTGCAGCCACCTCAGCACTTTGCAAAATTGTGTTGTATTTGCTCTTGTTGGTTTTTTCTATCCCAGCTCAATGTCTCTTCTCTTTTTTTTACAGAATATATGACACATCTGCAATGAAAACACAATCTCCCTTATTGACAAAGATCAGGTACATCTGAACTTAAGCTTTTAGTTGGAACAACAATTCACCAACTTCATGCTATGTCCTGTTCTTTTTCTACCCGTGTAACCTCAATTTGCTTTTCAGACATGACATGCAGACTGGCCGCTGGCTGAGCAAGCTATCAGCGGTGTGGGACCCCAAACAGGAAGAGTGCTTTGTTGTGGGCAGCATGTTGAGGCCTCGGAGGGTACAGGTGTTCCATGAAAGTGGCCAGCTCCAGCACACATTCATGGACGATGACAACCTTAACACAGTGCTGTCCGTCACTGCTTTCCATCCCAGTAGGAACGCCCTCCTGGGGGCCAACTCATCAGGCCGCCTGCACGTCTTCTCTGACTAAGACCCAAACATGTTGGACCATCACCTTCACTTGCCTTTCTCAGAAGTTCTCTGAAGCTACAAGGTTTTCCTCAGGGCTATTTTCCACTTTAATTTTAACAAGAAATCCTGCCACTCTCCATGATGGACAGGATGTGTTAATCCTCATTTACAGTGATTGTACAACGACCACAAAAAGCTCAGTTTTGGTCCAGATGTGTCAGATTTACAGCTTTACTCCCCCTTACAGCTGTTTATCTTCCTTCCTCTCCTTACTCCAGAGGAAACTCCTTCAAAGTGCTTTTGAGATTTTCTTCACGTCTCTTGAACTTTTCAATCAACCTAACAACAAATCCTCATCCTCATGTGATTGTTGATTTTTTTAGTTGATGTTGACGAACCAGCTGATAAAGTTTTATTTAATGTCGGACACGTGATCTTGCTTCAGTTTTATATCTCAACTTAACACAGATCAGTGTGTTTTTTCAGTTTTAGTAACCAGTTAGGTTAGGTAAATAAATTCAGTTGGATTCAACATAAAGTGAAAAAGCAATGTACCGACACTGATTATTTCTGTTCTCTGTTCTCAAATGATGTATACAATCCATTCAATTTCTAAAATGCTCCTTCTGCATTCTCTGTGGAGCTGTGTCTTTGTTTTGTTGTGGAACAATAGTTTCTGTGTTAAGTCGTTGCTGTTAAATTCATGTTTTTTTATGTTACCTTTGAAGCAAAAACAATAAATTGTTTTTTATACAACACATTTAAAAAATGTACTGTTTGTCTCTGCAGTGGTAGTATCGTCAGCCCCTGAAGATGGCAGCATTGTAACATAAAATGTGTGCGTGTTTGCATGTGTTCCCTCCTGAACCTACATCTTTGTGAGGACCATTTTAAGCATAGACCCTACAGAGTGAGGATATTTTGGCCGGTCCTCACTTCTTCTAAGGGCTGTTTGAAGGTGAAGGGTTAGAATTAGGTTTAAGTTAGGGTTAGGCATTTAGTCTGGATGGTTGGGGTCAGGGGTTAGGGAACACTTGATGTACTAAGATAGATGTACAAACGTGTGTGTGTGGTATTAGAACAGGGACAAAGAAAAAGCCTCAGAAGGAACTAAGTTATGCTGTTGATCATTTCCTCTGTGAATTCAGCATTGAACCTGTAGCCACAGTGACTGCTGGATGTCAAGAATAGATAATATTTATTCATAAATTGAGGACACCAGGATTCAGTCAGTGGTGGAAAGAAGCAGCCTTGTTGGAGGTAATAAATGCAGACCACATGCTTACAGAGACATTTCCATGTGTGGGACCATGGTACAGGGAGCAATCTGACAGCAAGACCACATCTGAGACATTATTCCTGTTCACATTGTTCAGTAAAGCTACAAGCAACCAAAGTTGCCTGGCAATCGAGCTGTCACCCCTTTCCAATGTGTGGTTCAGGTGATCTGAAACAGTTAAAGCAATACAAAAAAACATAAATAAAACTAAATTGCACAAGGAAAGAGTCAGGTAGTTGAGTATGCTACTTATGCTGTTTTTAAAATTGCTAAAAAAACAAACCGCTTCGCTTTCACTGGCAAAACCTGATAGGAAAATGGATTTACTGTCATGTGTTCAGTTCATTTACATGTATTTTTCCCACAATTCATCTGTTTCTATAAAACAAGTCTAAAGAGAGCAGATCTAGGATTAGGCAATGACGAAACAGGATTTACATGAAAAGTTTCTTTTCTGTGCACCACAGAGCATCACCCAACACTGTTCCCTTCACACATACATTTACAGGCTGTTCCACCTTCTCAACAAGATTCAAGACATTTTTCATGTCCGGCAGACAGAGACAAACAGTGGTTTGCAATTCATTGTTATTCATTATTACATTTACTCCCATATTTATTGCTCAAATTATGCTGTATTATTCTCATACACATCGACATAAAATGAGACTTTCAAATCAAAACAAATAAAGGAGGTGAAAAGTTATTTCACTTAAATTAAAAACCACCAAGCACCATCTTAAATTAAAGCAAATACATCAGGAAGTTTGACAATCAACTGCAAAATATGGTT